GCCGACTTACCTGTGGCTTGGCTGATCCACGGCTGGGTGCGGAGATGCTTGGTTCGACGGCTGCTCTGGGCACTGGCTGGGCGGGGCCTGTTCCTGCTACTGGTTCCTTATTGGTAATTATATTCGGCTGAATACAATTTGCCTTTTTTGTTTTGCTTATTAACTCTATTTTGCCGGCTTGTTTTTTTTTTTACTGTATTTTGCCTGTTTGTATAATTTGCTGCTTTGCTAATTTCTTTGTAATGTATTTTGCTTTGCCTGTATCTAGTGCTTTGGGGTTCTTGCATGAAGTTTAAGGTTGCAGGCTAAGGCCAAAAAAAAATATTCGGTCTCTGGTCAGACCAAAGTTCCGGAATTGACGCGGGGACGCGGCTTCCCCCCCCCCCCTTTTTTTTCTTCAAGCTTGGATTGTACAGACAAGGTGGGGTACTATTTTGCTTTTTTTGGCGTCCTTATGTACACTGGTGTCCTCCATAATTTGCCTTGGTGCTCTCGATCATTTGCCTTGGTGCAATTTCCCATTCCTTGGTGCTCTTTGGTAAAAAAAAAATTGAGGAGGTGCGGCAATAGAGGGCGCTGTTGGAGCTACCGCGGATTTTTTGGGAAAACAAAAAGATTGACGCGCATGATTAAAATCGACCCGCGCGCTGACCAGAGACCGACTTATTATTTTTTTTGGCCTAACTGAGAATTTTTGTTGTATCACACATTGACCTGGTGATTGATTTGGGAGAATTATTTAAACTTTGTTAATCATATATTGGTCTCTTTTTTGCCTTTGATTCAAAAGTTATGATTCCCGTTTTTATTACTTATTTCTTTGTGCTGTGCTGCGTTCCCCGCACGTAACAACTTGTTACGGCTTACAACTACTCACTGAGGCATAGGCGTACACAAATATTCTGGTGCACAATTAGGTTCAGAGAATATATTAATAAATTGGGAATGCAATTGCAGATTTCAATGATGATGAATATATTACATGACCAAAACATGGAAAGTCTTCCTTGGCAGCTCAAGTTGCTGTCTTCTGATAATTAATTTACCATTTTTGTTTAATGCTGTGGTCTCGTATGGTCTGACATACACACCATAAGCTCTATGTCTTTGTTTCTTTGTGGAGGTGGTTATTCTTTTAGATTATTTTTATGGATAGATGATTATGTAATCCTTCATTCTCTTTAACGAGATAGTATTAATGTTATGGGCTTTAAAGGTAAAACGTGGAACATTAAATCAACAGCTCAGTACCATCGATTCAGAGTTGTAAACACGATCATTTCGAACACGATGTTACTTTTAATTAATATTTTTGCACCACTCTCTCCTGAGACGTTGGGATCAAACCTAATTCCTATTATTTGCAGACATAATGAGGCTGGAAACCCCTTTAGCATAACTGTATGCCTAATATCTATGGATCTTTCGTTTCGAAATTGTGTTTTGCATGGACGGCGATCCTGGGGGGGGGGGGGGTTATTCCAATGATGATGGAAATGAATTATACCATGAACTTTGAAAAATTTGGCAGCTTCGGTAAAAATCTATATAGGTCTACATTTGGATTTATATAACCGACATACAGATCCTTGTCATTTGATTGGTGGAACTCACATCACGTGTCATTCGTTATAATTGCCATTCACGCTGGGGCTCAAAAACAACTATCCGCCCATGGGGAATGTGAAATATTATAACGCCTCACCCACAGATTCTGTGTCTTGATTGATTGATTTAAACTGTGTTCAGATTTAAATAATTAAAAATATTGAAACCAACAAGCAGAATCTGTGGGTGAAGTGTTATAAAGCAAATATTGAACACTTTATCTCGTGGTGAAGTAAAACTAGCCTCCCGAAGTGATCCATGGAGCATTCAGTTCACTCGGCTTCGCCTCGTGAAATAGAAAAGTCCAAATTTTACCTTGTGATAATATTCCTCCCATTCCAAGCTGATTTATTTGTATAATAACTTATAACGATAAATTATATTCAAATGTAGGCCTATATAGATTTTTTACCAAAGTTGCCTAATTTTTCAAAGTATTATTCCCAGCATGTAAAACGCTAAGACATTTTTTGCCTTACTTTAGAACTTTTAATTTATTTGTTAACCAACATTCATAAATACCTCAGACAGTTTAGCTATTCCTATTGGTCGAGAGCCCGTCACGTGGCCGGTCTAAAACGGATGATAAAGACATGGCTAGCTGGTCTTAAACACTTTTCCAGTGTCACAATAAAATGTGGACTCCTAAAAATCCAGTGCCTCTTACCGTTTCATTGGTTGAACGTTCACAATCCTCACGTAGGCATGCGCAACACTACAAGCGAGTCAGAATTTTATAGTTCTAAATTCAAAACGCAACGCCCCAGGTGCGTTCTGCGTGACATCGCGCAGAACATGTTACGCGCGCGTCAATCTCCATAAAAGGGTTGTTTACATCTTACTCGCCAGCTGAACACTCGATTATTTTGCTAGAGGGATGTTTCAAAAAGCATGAAGTGAACTTGTTGAACAAAATCGGGATTTTTTGAACGAATTATTTGATATTTTTTTACGGATAAGGTATTTATGAATGGGAATAAATATGTGCTCGGTCGGTATTTATCACTCTGTTTAATACCGCTTAGAGTCTGGGTGCTGATAATTACCCTCGCCTCCGGCTCGGGTAATTATCAGCACCCAGACTCTAAGCGGTATTAAACGAGTGAAAAAAACCTCCGGAGCACACATTTATTCCCTTAATAATAAAGTTCACACAGTGTACACTGGTTTCCGCTCCAACATAAACGAACGCACCCATTGTTGGTAGCTACTGGCTTTTGGGAACAATACGCAAAACGCTCAAAGCGCACACCAGCATGTTGAATAGTATACACAACACCTGAATAAATCCCCGTCATCTGATTGGTGGATCGTTGATCACATGCCATTGAATTATTCGTACCAACGCACGACGCGCGCGCGGCGCGCAGCGCACAGTGCAATGGAAGAAAGGCTGCATCCGAATCCGTTGTCTAGAGCTAGGTCTAGGTCTGCGCTCATTGAAAATACGCGGGGACGCGCTGACAATAGACGTAGCCGTAGCTCTGGAAGCCCGTTTCGGACACGGCCTTATATTGCACGGTGAATAGAACTTCCATTGCACTGTGTCACAGCTGCTGGTGGTGGCGCTGTTTTAAATCGAGATAAATTGAAGATGATTGTTGTCAACCTTTTGAACAGTTTGCATTAATATTAATATGATGAACTTGTCGAACTTTTATACAGTTTTTAACCTGAATAAATTGGCTATTAAAAGTCAACCAGTCAGATGATAAGGATTTATTCAACGTTATATAAAACTAATAATGAATGTTTCACGTTTCTGCAATGGAAAAACTAATTTCATTCAGTGACAGATGAAATTATTCTTACCATTGCACTATCAAACATTCATTATTTGTATATTATACACCACCTGAATAAATCCCCGTCATCTGATTGGTGAATTGTAGATCACGTGACATATTATTATTCGGTATAATGCACGGTGCGACCATGCGTTATACCCATGCGTTATACCGTTTCACTTTGCGCTTGTTCCATGACGCGGTATTTGCGTGCAAAATGCATGCTGGTGTGCGCGTTCAGCGTAGCGTGTATTGTTCCAAAGAGCCAGCGCTACAGCGTTGGGTTCAAACATTTTCGTGAAGGGGTAGTTCAACATCTTTAAAATCAAATAAATTGTAGTTTATAATTTACCAATCAAATGACGAGAATTTATTCAGGTGTTGTATAAAACAAATAACGAATGTTTTACGTTCGTGCGATGGAAAGAATAATTTCATTCGGTGACAGATTGAATGTTCTATTCCACTCGGCTTCGCCTCGTGGAATAGAACATTCAATCTGTCACCTCATGAAATTATTCTTACCATCACACTCACAAACATTCGTTATTTGTATACTAGCGCGTTAACAGCTTCGCCCTCGTACTGAACGCGTATTTAATGCGGTCGTGCTTTCTAACGTCACGTCTGGTACGAACAACCTGTATCTTGTGTTGTGAGAGTACGACAGAAATACGTACATTAAATATAAATCCTTGCCAAATAACACGACGTCGCAATCTCATGTTTGAAAGGATTGATTCTACAAACTAAAAAATTCAATATTTTAAGCATTGCATCGCGCGTTAAATACATCAACTGCAGTCTTGTTCTAATTCAAATGTCCCAAATAGCGGGACATTCAAATGTCCAAAATAGTGGACTTTTAAATAACACAATTCCAGGGGTAAGATCGCGCAAGGCACGATGGGAACTAACATGGCGCAGCAAGCTTGTACCCATGGAAACGAGGTTGCCTTAATACCTGCTTGCATGACTACTTCCGGTTGTAGGCCCTTTTCATGTTAACACTTACCGCCCGTTTATTGCATGGACGTTAATCCCGAGAGGATGGGGAGAGTTCCCCCCTTTTACTTTGGGGATTGGATCCGCCCCCCCCCATTTTTGTTGTGAGAAACAAAAAAATGACGATTTTGAGGTTTTAACTTTGTAACTTTCCACTGGTTCATAATGGACCGATCCAGTAAGCACCGCCCCATGGTGTACTGACCAATCACAGCCGTGCGTGCACAGAAGTCCGACATGCGTGCACGCGCGTATGCTGCGCGCGGCAGGAAAATGCAGCGTGGCATTGGAGAGGAGCACGTGGTAATTTGCCCACGTGCGCAGTGGGCGGGGCTTACTGGATCGGTCCATTTACACCGGGCAAAATAGTATCCCGTAGCTCATAGAGTTAATGCAACGCAGTGATCTCTAGTAGGCCTCCAGGTTGCTTGTGGAAACCCTAAAATTGAAGCTAGATGAATTTATATGCACTTCACGTCGGAGGGATTTCGTTTATTTCGATAACAGAGCTAAAATAAACTTTTTTTCCAAGCAAAGAGTGCGAAATGATTTCTAGCCCTCGTTGGCAGGGAAAAACACGAACTTTTAATACCTGTTAGACTATATTGATACGAGTCGGAACAATTTTACAATACGGTATAACTGAAACTTTAATCAAGATTAATATGTCTTCAAAATTTACAAATTATCACAGCAGCTGATTTAGTTATATTCCCCAAATATCCATTTACATCATGGTGAAACGACCAGCGTTCAGTGTTTTTAACAATCGTTTTCGTATAAATTTAACAATCTCAACTTCATATAAACGCAGCATTACCAGCTCATGGCCTCACCTCTTTTAGCTACATGTAGGTTAAAGATGGGAAATGACTTATAACTTAAGCTCGTTTAAAATAGGAGCAAAGTTTTTAAGACTTTGCCTATCTTTGTGTGTGCACTTGTTTGTCCGTAAGCAGTAGTGCGTGTCCAATCGTCGCCCAGAGCAACGACTGCATCTGTTATCATCAGCTCTAATGTAGTTGCAGTTGTCAAAGAGTGTGTTCGATTACTTTCCCCGCGCTTACTCGTGCAAGCGCGACAGCGTTCGATTTACCTCTCACGTGACTTCTCGCGCTTACTCGAGCCTGGCTCAAGTAACCGACTCGCCGAGCCGGTAGGTTGGGTAAGTATCCCATAAAGCCATGCAATAAACATGGCTGCCAACGTGACGTCCGGCGGGCGCCTCAGGCCGTGTGCTTCCAGAGCTACAGTTACGTCTTTTGTCAGCCCGTCCCCGCGTATTTTCAATGGGCGCGGACCTTGACCTAGCTCTAGACAGTTGATTCGGATGCAGCCTCAGTGTCATGTCAAAGTTCAACTTTCCAGCTCTTGCACGAAACTTTACCCTAAACCGTTCGTTTATTTAGCTCAACTGCGCATGTCTGTCATCACGCAGGCACGAGTAAGCTGGGGGAAGTAATCGAACGCACTCCTTGATAATTGCCCCACAGTAAGGGATTTGGACACGCCCTATACACTTTATTCCCACGTGAACGGTTCGCGCTGAAGCGCCCTCAACTAAGAGTAACTTTCGTAGTTTCGCCACTGAGGGCGTACGATAGTTTTGCACGGAGCCTGTATTCAAAAGTGGGAATCTTTCACCAAGTGATGCGCCCTGTTTTTACAATGTATCATTTTAAAGTGCATCATAAAAGCATGTACACAAAATTTCATCCACGATACTAAATATACTTTCTCTCTCTCTCCCCTCTCGAATGTTGTTGCCCGAATGTTATTTGCCAATGGTTTGTTGTCTGGCAGCGAGCTTATACCATCTGACAAGGCTCTGATTTGGATAATCCTGTGGGCAGCAAGTCATCCAAGTTTGTGCTCATGATATTCCGCAGAGCCTGAAGAGTCATGTTGTGATATGACTCTGGATAGGCACACGGCTGTTTTTAGCCAATATGATAAATACATGTATACACATTACGAATTTCAATTTTTCTCAGTTTTCCTCAAATGATGACTGACACTCTTGGGTACTTTTTCCTGTGCTGAATTATCACATTTTGTAAATCGAGGACAATCTTTTACATCACGTCCCGTTTCAAAAACACCGCAGCCTAAATATGTTTCTTTGTCCTTGAAGACAGCCAAATCATTATGAAGAACTGCTGCGGAAGTCAGGCATGCATGACGTCATAGGTGCCAGCCTATGTTACGCCACGTATACGCACCCGGACTCATTGGCAATTTCCCAAACCTTAACTCATGCGATGGCACCAGTTTTGTTAACTTTTTTGCCTTGTAGCCTAACTGTCGGATACTCCAGTTCTTCATTTTACTTCAAACAGTGAAGTCTCAAAAATGAAGTTTGATTTTGGAAAAGGTCCATCGCCGAGGCCAAGATTTGATAAACTGCCCTTGGTTCAGACATCAAATATGATTATAATTGCAGCAATATATCTTTCTACAAATTCCGCCAAGATGATAGTTCTTTATTGTCACCTGTGCATTATTTTGAATGAAAAAAAAAAATGAAACATCATATTAAAGAACTACGGTATATGCTTTAAATTATTTTTGTTAAGGCTCAACTTCAGTACAATTTTCAGATTGAAGTTATAAGTTTAATCGAAAATGGGATATACTTCACGATTTCTCATAAGTTTACCCACTACAATGCATTTTAAATTTGCCTTTTATTAAAGGCACAATAACGCCTGATATCCTTATAGCAAATGACCCCTATTGCTTATCGAAATACGCGAGTTGTATCCAGGCACTGGGAGATTAACGCTATGCGGATGAAGACCTTCATCGGTCAAGATGGACAGTGGCCGAAGCCCGCTTTCCGACATACTGTTCTGCTCAGACACTACATCCTCGTATTCCATGGAGTGGTCGTATTCGCCAGAGGAGATTTCGTAGTATCTGACGCTCCGTGCCTGGTCGATAGACGTAGACATATCCGATGAGTGCAGGCCCTCATACGTGTAGCGGGTGGATATCATACTCTCCGGACGGAGGCCCAGGTAGCTTAGGCTGTCGTCTGGCTCAAACGGCGGTAGGTCGTACTCGCGGTTCAGGTCACTGAATGTGATGCGCTTGGGATCGCCGAAGTCGCAGCTGATCGTAGAACGCATGCTGCTGAAGGTATTGCGATTGTTGGTGGACAGTGAGTTGGGCTCGATCTCATCGGAGTCACTACTGCCACTGATTGTGATCAAGGCGTCCTTGGTGCCCGGCCTCACACGGGTCATGAGCCGGATCGTGGCAACGATGACTACGCTGATGACCAGTCCGGCCATTGCTGCCCCGATAACTGTGACTGTTTTATAAGGCATGCTTCCTGCTAGGTTCTCCCGCTCTCTGTCATCGTTGTTACGATCGAAATTGGTCAAGTCGTCTCCGCTGTCATCTTCTCTCGAGTCCTCGTCCTGGTCCCCGTACTCTGGTCTATCATGACCTGGGCGGCCAGGGTTACCCCCGGGTCGGTTGGGTCTGCCTGGTCGACCAGGCCGTGGGTTACTGGGGCCACCCGGAATCGCAGGTCCATCTGTACCCGCGGAAGGAGACAGCGTACCGAACAACGGTCTGGTGGTTGATGGGACAACTGCGGTGACATCGGGCCATGTTGTCGGTGTGGACTGTCTCGGCACTACGTTGAGGATTGAACTTGCATTGGTAACCTGTCCCGTATTGGCCGTTGCCACACACGTTATCACAGTGTCGTCCAAAGAGAGTACAGCATTGTAAACGGAGATTAGCTGGTCTGCACCACCTAGAACGAATCGCTCTATTAGCGGGGACATGACCAGGGGTATCCTGTTGATATACCACGAATATGTTATGATCAGAGCTCCTTGAGCGTTGCAACCGAAGGTTTCTGACTCCCCCACCTTAATCACAGGGTCTCGGGGAGTGATGTCCACGGTGAGATACGTGGGTAGCGGTACGAGCGTACAGGACCGCTCCAGTGGTAGGGCCATCCCGTTCTCCCGGCATTCGAACACCACCCCGTAGTCCACCGGTCTCATGGTGTACCTCTGAACGTTGGTAGTAGTGGTGGGCGTGCCAATCTGATGGGGCCCGCGGTGCCAGTTCAATTTTGGAGGGGGCTTGCCTCCCCGGGTGTGGCACGTTAGTATCACCATCTGGCCGGGTATGAGGCCAGACGGGGGCTGCATGCTGCACTGTGGGTACCCGGGATCCGGTGGCACGACCACCGTTAAGGTTGCCGACCGTCGGACGATGTTCATCAGCCCAATCAGGGCGCGGCACTCGTATCTGCCCGTGTCCGTCTCGCGCAAGTTGCTGATCCTCAGGTTGAATTCACCGGAGCTCCGCTTCCCTATCACCGTCACCCGGTCACGCAACTCGCTATTAATCTGCGCGTCAAGCATGCCGTTGAAACTGAGAGTTGTTGTAGGATCGAAGTGGCTCCAGAGAACGATAGCACCCGCCATGTCTGGACGTAACGCACACCGGAGCACCACGGTTTGTCCCCGAGCAGCGACAGTGTCCTGTGGGCTCACCGCGAACGGATCTGAAGTGTACTGCGCCGTGCATGACGAGTAAATTCCACACAGAAATGACAACAAAACATATGAACAACACTGTATTACCCTCCTGCCAAGTCGGCCGAATGGTGAACTAGTTCGCTCCATCGAAAGTTCTTGTGTATAATCCAACTCGAGACTCACTCAATTCACGATCTCCCAAACTGGAAGAAAAGTCAAATCAAAACATTTCAGTAAACTCTGCTAAAAAAAAACATGACTCGCTGTTCTGTCCATGACTCCGCGTGCGCCCATGCTAAACACGGAAACTGCTTATACTTGAACAGTGTCGAGGTCCGACTTGAACTGCTTGCTTCCTGTGTGAGGTCAGCTGTGTACCCCCTGTGGCCTCTCGTCACAACCCGCTGACGTCCCAGTGATTCTGAGTCACCTTCCGTCCATGTGCTCCTTCCCCCGCCTAGAAACGTCTTGGGACATAACTAGACGGCCGTTGCATGTATCAATTACATCAACCCCAGAAATTCCAGAAGTGTGTATTGCACGTTCACTCAGAGCATGGAGGCCCTCTTCAATGGAGAAACCATTGTGTACGCTATTGAGCAAAGCATCTGCTTAGCCACTAGCTTGCACACTGCTTTTGCCATTGAAGAGGTCCCCCGTGATAGAACTGATAGCGTGACTGGATTGGCCTATGTCGTGTTTTTCCCGACCATAATGGTTCAGAAGAAACAACAACGAAGGGGCCTTTTTGGCAAGCTTTTGAAACAGCCGTGGCTTTCATAGCCGTTTCATATCATCCAGAACCATTCCTTCATTATATATGTTCCATACTTATGTTGACTGCATGTGGGATAACAAACAAAAACTGCACAAGTACAATAATTGGATCCCTCGTAAAACAATGCCATTTCCGAGATGGAAACATTTCGAACTTGGTGATTTCACCATTTAGTTTTCGCTGCTATTTTTTGACCATCAGGATACTAATTTTCTATTATCCTGGAATAAACTTCTTATGGTTGAATATATATACATATTTTTTAGGCACACCCAGGCTCTCAGCATTGTTGTCTCATGGTTGGAGGAGGGCGATGACGTGGGTGCTGCACAGTGTTTTCGCATGTTTACCGTGTTTGTTTCACCAGAATCCGTTTATATAACAGATATATAAAAACAAACGTACTGTTTAGGCCTAATTGCGTTCGTTATTATTTACAAATTACAAATTCATCCACTCGTGAGTCTGAATTTGTATTAGGCTAGGGGATTTATCCCTCACCCTTATTAGGAGTGTGGAGTCCATTATGTAAATGAGAAACAAAGATTCATAAGTACTTGAAAAGCAGTCAAATGTTCACCTTATGGAGCATGATATTTCATGCATTGCTAAAAAAAAAAAAGTATCCGGCATAAAAAATAGAAAGCATTTGGTGAAGTGGAATGTGTATAAATTTACTTTTAATATTTTAATATTGACGTAGTTTATGAATAGCGTGTTTGTGATGATCTTTTTTAATAATGTTAACTGTGACTAATTTGATATATCTTTGTCTGTTGAGTACTTCTATATTTATGCAATTTTGTAAGTATTTATTATCAAATTCTCCATACCTCGAACTCAATTTATTTCTGAAGCTTTTAGAAGAATATCTTCTTTCTTAATTGTTGAATCAGTCTATTCCTTTAAGTTAAATTTTCAGGGTTTTTTCTTTATTTTTACTAAAATATGATGTATCGCGCTCTCCAATCATGTGGCTTTGGAGAGAGGGCAATATAAATATATCACCCGGATCCGCCGTGACATATAAATGTGTGGATTTGTCTTTCACAACGTCATGGAGCTATTTATTACCTATGTGAAAATACATGATGCGTGCCATGTTTCCGTTCATGTGCTTCGGCAAATGCCAGTGTGGGTATTCCTGAATAGTGGAATGTTCAGGAAATTAAATATAAAATATATTAAAACAGTGGTGGCAAAAAAAAATCTGAGAGAGTAGAAATTTACCGGCTCAGCAAGATCGAGTTGAAAATTCGGGAAGAATCGTTGCGTAAACCTGACGGTAGAAATGTTATCGACTAATCATATTTTAACCAGAGGTGGCGCTACACGGAAAAGTCGGCAATCAAAACGTCTGTTGGCCCCAAAGGTTCGCACACTACGAATGCACATTTTAACAAAATGAATGAACTGATTACGTTTGATGTAATGAACTTAAAGTTAAATAGGAACAATTGCTTTTTTGAGCATTTTTTTTCGTTTGAAGTATCAAAATTGCCCAAAATATTTACCCTAAAGGGACCACCTTTTTTTTCCAGGACCATCTCACATGCATTTTTTTTTGGGCGAGGGGATCCGCCTACCCTTTCACTCTGAACTCGGGCGTGAAGCAACGGATTGGAACGAAATTTGGCACATAATCATGTAGAGCAACTTGATTTGAACATATTCACAGAATTTGATTTTCATAAGACAAAGTGTTATTTAAATATTGAATTTGCAAAGTTAGTACACTGTTGCTTCAGCAAACTGTACTAACAATGTATTGTGTATGGGAAATGCGATTTCCGCGGTGCGCAGCAGCTTCAAATAATGTCGCGCGTGCAGCGCGGTGACCCTAAAAGCCGTGTGGTTGCAAAGGTGAAGCGTGGCCCATTGACAAGCAAAATTACTTAGACGCTATAACGGAGCAGTGAAATTCATGCACCCCAAAAATAAAGACCTTTTGACCGTTTTGTTTCTCAGAAACTATGCTCAGTATGATTGAAGTGTTGAATTATAACGGAGGAAGAAATTCTAAACTTCATGTTTGTGAAAAAAAAAATCGCTGTCATCGATGCCGAAACCTTAATACTGGTTACTGGTAAAGATGACCTTCAAGTCGGGATGTAAATCGTTCGAAAACGTCCCCAATTAATTTTATGTATTTATATCAATTTCTAGGAATTTCCGAAAGTTGTTATTTCACGAGTAATTGAACACTTATATCATCTAAGTATATTCCGAATTTCAGCTTAAGGCCCCCCAAAAAATCTCCGGTTTCTGGTATGGAGCTTGCCCCAAAAATGGTGCGGGGACGCGGCTTTTTTTTCCCCTTTTTTTTCTTCAAATGTCGGCTGATGACTGCAAATGGTGCCCGACAAAATTTAGTGAATAATATATGAGAGTCTAGAGAGGTCACATAAATCTTATACTCGATCGTAACCCCATCTAAAAAACACGTCAAAATTATGCAGCAGCAGGATTCCAGTCAAACCAGTGAGTTTGGCAGTTTTTAGACATAATCTTACATTGATAAAAAAAACTTTTTCATTTTGCCGACGCGAATGGCTACGTCGAGAAACTAGTGTGTCCACGGACACAAAGTCATGTTCTAAAACCACCTCCAATTATTGTTTTCTTCCAAATGATGCAGTTTCAAGCGGAATAATTTCACAGGGCATTTGGTACCAGTCATATATCACTTTTAGCAAGGGGTTTCTCGTTAAATCGGTAGACATGTTTCCGGGTAATTGCAATTTGGAAAATCCCCTAAGTGCCTTTAAATTATGAAACAGAATATCAAAAGCGTAGGCCTATATCAAAAGCGTATATAAATTATCAAACAGAATAACAAAAGCGTGTACACGCATTGGTGCATTATGATGACTAATGTTAGGTGCCTGGGTGTTTCATATAAATTTCGCACTTCATTGATTATCGCTTTATACCCTTTGATGAAAAAATGTTTAAAGATTGATTCAGCAAAGAATACCCGTCAGCTTCGAGGCCGTTGGCTAATTAACTCATTAATTAGTAATATTGTTTCCTGGTAACAACAGGTGTCCTTCTCTTAAGCCATGATGCCACTTAAAATTCATATGGCATAATTCGTGGAGCTGTTACATGTACTTCAATGGCAGATGAGCATAAAGGCAAGGCGCCGCTCTATATTACGGCGAATGGGCAAGTGGCTCTGTCGTTGTTTTCTTGTGCGAGGAAGGCGAAATCTGATCTCTTTCGGGCTTATTTTTCCAAAATTTTAGCTCTGAATTTTTTTTTTTTAATCGTACTTGCCCTTCGATTCCGGACTTGTCCCATACGGTTTATAAAATCACAGAGTAAGGAGCAGCACATTGCTATCTGCCGATGACCATACTAAATTAATGCACTGTGAATCAAAATGAACTGCGTATTCAAGTACCGGTATTTGTAACGTCTTGAACCAAAACTGAACAGGTAGCCGAATGAGGGATACGGACAGGCCTAAGTATTCCCATTAAGCCAGCTTTCAGTTGATTCTCCTTGGTTTGATCGATTGATTGATGCGGGAAGAATGCAATATGTTTTTATTACCGCGGGTTCTTGTCTATCCTACTAATCATGAGCAATGACCGGGACGAAATAGGTATGCTGAGTATAATTGTAGCCAGTCAGAACAATTATATAACGAAACCCGCAAATATCAAAGACGGAACTACTTTGGTCTTTATCATAGTGCCTTTTGTTTTATACCAGAAGAAATATTTCGGAGACAATGCTGCCCCAAGGGGCCATGACTGCCGCCGAGATAACATATATCTGAGTACTGTGTTTGATTCATTTCAACCGTTTTTGTTAATTGCATAATAATATTAAAACATTAAACATTTGATGACAGGATAAACTGAGCGCTTCGGGTCCATTGTGGCAGCAGTTATCAGTCGGTCAGTACTGATGAAAAGAGAACACTCGGTTCTTTTCAGAACCACACATACTCACAAATTTCGCCAGATGGTGCTACCGCAACTTACCTTATTATTACCCTTCACCATGCTAACCTTCAAATCTCATCAGAACACTGAACGATACAAAACACCCAGCCAGTTCCAACATCTTAGTTTCTTATTGAGTGATCATTTCATCCTTAAGAAAACTGTGAAATGTTAAATTATGCAATAATTATTGAAAATACGTAAAACAAAGATGAAGATAAAAAAGTATTACCTACTCCCTTGACTTTAATTTATACATGTTTCTTTTAATTATAAATGCTTTTTTAATATCACTGTGAATGATATCTTTAATTAGAAGAATATGATTAAAAGTTTGAATACAATTTGATCGAATAATGTTCAATTTCCTTGTAAGTTGTATTCCTGCTGAAATATTTTACAGCCAGGTATTTTGGTCTTGGCTGTTGACCAACACTTCCACATTTTGAGCTTGAGGGCACGGCCGATGGTTGTCGATCCCGACGACTTGTTTTTGCTTGTGTGTGTCAGCAAGTGAAGTGACGCGGCTTTGGTCGTAACTAGGCCCCGACGATGTGCCCGTGTGGTCCGGTCGGCCTTTGCGACAACACACGCTCGACGGAAGGTGCCTCTTGAAGCCGGTCCCCGCAAACGGGTACACAAACGGATTGAGCATGCTGTTCAGGTATATCATAAGCTTAGCGGTGGCCGCGCCGATCCGGTAACTATCTGACCAGAAGTTGATCTGTGGATCCCAGACGATCAGCAGGATGAAGAGGTGCTCGCCGAACCAGCCCAAGGCGAACATGACCACCACGAGAACGATGATACGGAGCGTGGACTGCATGCGACGCCGCCGTAAATCGCGCTCCGAGCCCCCGACGGAAGCTGTGAGACTCGGCTGCTTTCTGAGGTGCAGCCAAATCAGAATGTAGCACATCGTGGCGACAGCGAGGGGAAGGACATACAGGACAACCACGGTGTAGGTGAAGAACACTTTTGGGCCGTACTTCCAGGGGAAGATGATGGAGCAGGTTACACCGAAGGAATTGACGGAGAAGATAGCCACTGGTAAATGGAGAGCAAATGAGACTACGACAGGGCAAGAAGGGAGGAGATAACCGCAATTAGTCGCTATATATACAATGTACTGTAGTACAGACAAAAGTGACACTGAGATAACAATGCAATGACTGAGATAGCTTGCTGAACGCATAAACATAAACGTTTCGATGTCAACCCAAAAAGACGGATTCAGGGAAGGGGTGCTGTTTGTTTTCTCGGGACCAGCGGGACGCGCAATTTATTTTTCCATGGGGGGGGGGGGGGGGCTACAACATAATCGGTACCATGTATAGAATTATGCCAGAGGGATCTATACATGCAATATTGTAATGTTTAAAAACTACCACCTCGTTCGAGTCACTGCTGTAGTTTCATGGATACTACATTTGATTACGATTCCGATCGTGTGGGTTCGATTCCTATTCATTCTTTGTTTATTTCTTCTTCTTACTTCTTTTTTTTTGCTCTTAAACATGTTTGTAAGTCATTTGGAACTTTTTTTTTAATTTGTGATTTGGAGGAATTTTTTCCAGGGAAAATAAAGTTTTAGAACCTGCATGAGACTCAAAGTGCTTCGCCCGGCCGTAGCGAATTAGTGGTATGGAAAAAAAGCGGGCCGCATCGTGCCATAATCAAGTTTAGTGAGTAGGGCCTACATTCCATGTACTGCACACGTGTCATTCTCAAGCTATTCAAAGTCACTGGCTGGATAATTCCTAGCACGTGATCACTGAATAGTCGAGGCCCCCTTCAATTCAACGGAAAAACCATTGCATACGTTATTGTATAAAGCAATTGCCCTGTTACGGATTATCTGAACAATATCTAGCACAATACTTTCACCATTGAAGGGGGCCATCGTGACATTGATCTGAGCGTGTCCAAATTTGTGAGTTTCCCGGCCAGCCAAATTCCTCACATTGGCATTCATACGCGCGCGTTGGTACTAAAGTGATTTTACCAATCGAATTACTCCGATGGTTTTTGTTTTTTATCAAATTCAGGACCACGATTCGGTTTTTAGGTACACAAAATCTTGTGGCAACACTTTCAAATGCAGATCCGTGATCCCTTTTTTCAAGAGTGCATGGAATTGAGTGCGATTTTTGGCAATAAAATGGGAATTCAACGCTACATGACATAATTATGAAGAGAGATCATTATGCACAGAACTAAAGATTGCACACACGTATTCGCTATGGTTGAATTTTACTTTTATGCATGCATTTACGTTTTTCTAAATCCTATCCTGGTTAAACGTTTATTGTATACTCACTAATCCATATGGCCAGAATGGATACCAGCATCAATCTCATTCGCCTCTTCTTGTCCAATGCGCTCAGAGGATGAGCTACCACCCGATACCGGTCAAATGACATTAGGGCCAGGGTCAGACACGTCACTTGGGCCACAACCTTCAAACAGCAGTAATAAAAAAGGCTCATGCATGACGGAGTCAAACTTGAGCTAGCTGCTTCTCTGGCGACCAAAAAGATAAACCACGGTCATGGCCGTCTCAAGAGGGGAGGGGAAAAAACGGGGAAAATTAAATTACAAAGATGACAAGAGGTGCGAATTCATTTAGCCAGCACCTCACAACTGCAACCACTAGTATTTACCTCCCCCGCTTTTAAGCAATCTTACGAACGAAAACAAATTGAATATTGTCCTCTTTGAAGAGCGCCCCTAATTTATAGTCAGATGGTATCCAGCCCCTCCCCTTTTGTGTTTTTATTTTGCGACGCCCGGCGCGGTTGACTGGAAACGGAAAACAAATTCCTCAGTTACGTTCCAGCAAGGTAGTCCGTAGATCAGACATTCAGGTGGGACGAATTGACTCTGTTTTTACCCCAGACGCCGCATACAAAAAACAGACGCTAATGTAACGCACATGCAGGCACCAGACTATTCCTCATTTGCATACTCTTGCACATGCAAATCCAATCCAATACCAGGGTGAGAGAGAGCAGGTAGTGGTGGGCGCGTACTGCTTGACACCCTGGGAACGAGGTGTTGGAGACCCATAATAGTAAACAAATAACTCACTTGGTCGTTATTGTCAGTTGAAAAAAAAAAGGATTTCCATTTGTTGAACGTCACAATGAAAAATTTAGTGACCTCGATAATGCAACCTTGTCCTCCATCTGACACTGGAGACCCATTACAGTGTCAAGGGGCTCAGACAGGTGATGTATGTGTATAGTGCACAGGTGTACATTACAACGTTTGTTATGAACGAACGAAATAACTAACAGAGAGACATGATGACTTGTTGAGCTGCTCAGCCGCAGCTAAAAATGCTGGCGACGCTCATGCCAACGGTTTCTCAGTAACCCGCAACTTTGACACAAGTGTTAATATAATGCCATTAGGCAAATAGGCTATACATGGTTTGCCTGTCAATCTGTATTTTGTTCATCAGGCCTATATGTGATGATTGAAAAACCACATTCACCGGTTTGTAATTTTTTGCCGTTTGTGCACTTTCACAAAGCTCATGCAAACCTCAAAAGTGATTGTTTGGGAATCAGTATCTCAACAAAATAACTTAACAAAAATGTATATAGGTCCACTCGAATAGACTTATTCAAAACCGGGAGCGTCAGGCTTCCATTAGAACTACATACCCTTTGCAATTGACCAAGGTATGAAATAATTTGGAGGAGAAAATTATGGATCCCATTCGCATTTTAACGTCATAAACGAGCATAATGTTATGGTTTAAATTCAGCCCCTCGTTTCGAGTTAAGTTTGTCCAATTGAAATGCTTTAGGCCTTAGTAACCTGTTGAAAGCGGACCCTAATTTTTTACGGGGATCGTTCAACCGCATCGCAAGGCCACGGCCTGTCTTTAAGTATTCACGGTTTCGTTGGCTTTTATCGCCGGGTAAAACGGCCGGCAGTCTTGCCATTGGGTTCCATTAAAGAATAATAATTGAAACCGCGGTCATCCAAGGCGATAATCAGTAGGTCATGCATGAGACCTCTGTGCAAAAAAATGAGGGTATACTTTGCCTATTACTGTTCTGAGGTTATGGCAAGTCGTACAATGATGAATCTTTCATATCTTTCCTTATTGCCAGGTATAGCAATGGATATTCACCACTGTTTTGTACTTTGCTTAACACAGGCCTCCATTCTAACTGGATGTCTGCATGCTACGCGTTAATTGCTATGCGCCTTGAAGCTATACCAAGCACGATTTGAGACGAAGGGGTACCCCCCCCCCCAATCTCGCTATACCCGATGCAAACCCTAGACTATTGTTACTTAACACATCCCCTAGATATCTCAAAAGAATTCCTGAGATTCTGGTAACACAATGACCAACACAAAGTAGAGGGGGGGGGGGTTCCTCCGTCTCATATCGCGCTACATTATGCTTGAAGCAATTGATCCAAAACATCTCGCCAAAACGTTAATTTCGTATAGAGCCCTTGCACGTGCTCCGTCGCTCGGCTGGGGGCAGTTTTTGTTACTTAAATTCAGGTACAGACATTAATCCACTTTCGTCAACTTCCAGTTTAGTCCCTGGTGGACCATTCGGGAGTTTGAACTACAAGGTATACAATGGAAGTACGAAGTGTCTTCTGAACCGTGTCAAAGTGAAACAAAGAAATGTCAGATGCAGGGGTCCATCTGCAATAGCCTGGGGAAATCAACAGAGTGCACTTGACACAATTGAAAGTACGGCAATTTTGCAGCCACTGATGTAGGCCCACAATCCTGGCCAAATCTCGCTGGGCCCCCAACCCCGGCCCCCGTTCAATGTTGTCTCTCATTGCGCGGTGTGTGCTCCATCAGCTGGAGAGAACCAACCTCGTCCCCAGGGTGTCGAGCAGTACACGCCCATCACTACCCGCTCTCTCACCCTGGTATTGGATCATTTGCATGTGCAAGATGTTTGAACACGTATGCAAATGAGGAATAGTCTGGTGCCTGCATGTCCGTTACATTAGCGTTTGGTTTTGTATGCGGCGTCTGGGGTAACAACAGAGTCAATTCGTCGCAGCGCGAGCGTGGCGTGAGTTACGAAAACACGATTCATTTAATTAAACTGTTACAATCTTATCAAGACAACATGCAGTATCATATTTCATATTCATAAATACCTCAGACAGTTTAGCTATTCCTATTGGTTGAGAGCCCGTCACGTGGCCGGTCTTAAACGGATGATAAAGACATGGCTAGCTGGTCTTAAACACTTTTCCAGTGTCACAATAAAATGTGGACTCCTAAATATCCAGTGCCTCTTACCGTTTCATTGGTTGAACGTTCACAATCCTCACGTAGGCATGCGCAACACTACAAGCGAGTCAGAATTTTATAGTTCTAAATTCAAAACGCAACGCCCCAGGTGCGTTCTGCGTGACATCGCGCAGAACATGTTACGCGCGCGTCAATCTCCATAAAAGGGTTGTTTACATCTTACTCGCCAGCTGAACACTCCATTATTTTGTTAGAGGGATGTTTCAAAAAGCATGAAGTGAACTTGTTGAACAAAATCGGGATTTTTTGAACGAATTATTTGATATTTTTTTACGGATAAGGTATTTATGAATGGGAATAAATATGTGCTCGGTCGGTATTTATCACTCTGTTTAATACCGCTTAGAGTCTGGGTGCTGATAATTACCCTCGCCTCCGGCTCGGGTAATTATCAGCACCAAGACTCTAAGCGGTATTAAACGAGTGATAAAAACCTCCGGAGCACACATTTATTCCCTTATCAATATGAACAAATTGGAAAGGAAATGAGTATTTTCGAGAAGGCGTGGACGAATGACCGCGAAAACACATACTACACGTTGTGAATAACAACACCAAGTACACGATAAAAATCCATTACTAGCCAATTGCGGTATCAGGATACAGAGAGAAAGTTTCCTATTCAGGGCTTACTATTGGAAACGAGGTAGGAAATAAAGTAAGCGCTGGGGGAGCGGGGGAGTGGGTGACCGTGGCAGGCTCAGGAAGTGTCCCAACCATTTGTAGCTCGTTTAAAGCCAGAGTCCATCATTATTTTGCAGCTATCCAAAAAATAACTGGCGTATTTTTTGTTGAAAAAACATACTTGGTTGAAAGATAGTAAAGGGACTAAACTCCCTGTGAAATTATTCTTTCTGGCAAGCTGTCATTTTGAAGAAATCAGCGAAAGAAGGCCTTTCCAACGGTGCGTCTTAAGAAGCACTGTTGGAAATTTCCGTTAGTAGTTCGGGGTTTTCTTTCAATAGGCGAAGTGCGCGCAAGCGTTGGCACGACGCACACGCGCGCGCGGTTGCTATAATTCGTCGGATCGGCTCAATGAGAACGTGTCTCGGGCGCTGAATTCAGGCCCAATTCAAAATATGATTCAGCAACTTTTGATTTGAAATCGAGATCCTAGAGAATGTTGTTTTTCTCGAAATATACAGCTTAAGCTGAGCTGCAACTTCATCAGGTTAGCTGTTCAGCACCCTTCTTTAGAATTTGAGCACTATTGTTGCTTCAAACGAACAAATTGCACAAATTACAAATGATGGACTATACCTTTAATTAGTGAATTCGCCTGGCACAATCGTAAACCGATACTGATACCTGCATAATTAACTACCCGCACTTGAAAACAAAAGTGCATGACGCAGGATGGAGGCCAGCTACTTCCATAAGCATGTGCATTGTCAGCCACTCAAGTTTCTCAGTGATGCTATTAATCGGTTTCTCTGATTCGATCGAGCACTTGATGTTTTGGAAGAGCACGTACACAACTTATCTGCACTCAGGTTTTGAAATTAAGAAATGTCGGGCTTACAGAAACAGCACACATTTCAAAATACTCTTTACATCATAAATTATTATACGGCCGGGGTAGTGTTCACTGTCACGGTATATGCATGTAAAATAAAATGATGTAGTTGAAAACATTGTTTGTCGAACATAGTATTATTTACTGTTAGATTAGATTAGATTAGATTAGATTAGATTAGATTTCTTTATTGTCATGCTCAAAATTAAATGAAAATCGATTTCCCACTGTACAATTAAAAATATGTATACATACAATAATTAAAAAAAAATTGTTGAGGAGTAGAAGGTACGGGAACATATGCTTTTTGTGCATTTTCTTTTCTTTTCGTTTGAAGCAACAATATTGCTCAAAATCTTAAGAAGGATGGATAACAACTAACTTCTCTATATTTTGGGGATAACAGAGAAAAAGATATGCACAATTTTTGGGGTCTTGTAACTCCCGGATTCCTTTGCTAACGCTCGTTCTCTGTGCCTGCGTGCACATTATTTTGTTTTCTAAAAACCACATCAATGATTTTTTAGTCGGAATAATTTCACAGGGTTTGTACAGTCCTATCTTCACTTTGAGCTAGATTGTCTCGTTAAATATGTAGATACATTTCCGGGTAATTGTCCCTATCTGCCTTTAATTAACACATAAAAAGCGGAATTATTATTTTGAAAACCTTGTACAAGGTTTTACGAATAATAATTGGTAGACGACGGCACATCATTAGAGGTATTAATAAAAGTCTGTTTGTTTTTTGGGTACCATATTTAAGTATTCATGTTCATTTCCCCCTCCCCGTAGTCAGCCAGTTACTCTCCCCAGTAAAGTCATTTCTGTACATTACATCTTTCTCCTGTAACGAGGCCGATGACTACATAAAGGGAACACAACCTCGAACTCAGATTAACCAATCAATTCCATGTGCGCGTACCAACCCGAAAACCGACTTGCCCATTTTCTCTCTGAGCTGCCAAAAAGAAGCGCCCGCCGCGGCACAGTGAGTGACATTATGGACTCATCATGTAACAAACTCAAAAATTATGTTACACAATGTATACATTGTAAGGTTGTGGGAAATAATGTGTGACACAATGTAATAATCAAGGGCGGATCCAGTACACAATTTTTTTTGGGGGAGGGGCCAAATGAAAGTTTGGTCCCCCAAAAAGTGGGGCACCGATTTTTTTTTATTTTTTTTATTTTAGATGCTCTGTGGTACTGGTGCGACCTGAGGCGATTATTGATCACTTTAACCAATTGCTTTTGAGGAAAAGATGGTGGTGTATGCAGTGCCTGCCTTTATTGCGACGTCACTTTAAAAAAAAAAATAGTGTGGTTTTTTTTTGGGGGGGGGGAGGGAGGGGTGGGTGCATGGCCCCGGTTGCCCCCCCCCCTACATCTGCCCTTGGTAATAATGTTAACGGGTTCATTTACTTACATATCTCGTGTACTGGACCGTTGAGCAACCCAGCTTGACCGCTAGGTAGTACCCGAGCATCTCTGCCGAGGATGTGGAGGCATGCAGCATCAACAGCAACAAGTCCGTCAGCGCCAAGTTGGCGAAGAAGAAGTTGGTGACTCGGTGCATGTCCCGGTGCCGGATGACAATGTACAGCACCATGCCGTTGAGCACGAGCCCCAAGCCCGCCACGAAGATGAGTAGGTAGGCGAGAACCGTCTGGTAGGGGAGGAGGGTCTTGAAAAGCCCGTCGTCTCCATATCCGTCACCGCCTTGGCTTTGTCCCTCTGTCACGTTGAGCGGAGTAATGACAGTTGTACCGAGTGTGGTGTTTTCCATGTCGCCCATTGTCACAGACAGCTCATGTGTGTGCGATCATGGCAGCATATTACACATCTCCTATGCAAAAAAACCTACGGCCTACGTCAACCTAGTTCTTTGTCAAGTTGTTTTACTGGTCGTGATACTAAGTCATATCGAATTCATTGCCGCGCGCTTCAGTACTTCACCGCACCAATTATAGCGATCAGTGTAATGATAATTATTCCATTGCAGTTTCAAACAAAACGCAATCGATCAAATTGAACAGCATGCAGGAGCTTCCATTACGTACGTGCGACTATTTATTACCTCCAGTATTACCAGTGCAATAAAACAATTTGAGCGGTGTAATATATAGGCTTTCAGCTGCTCGTTTCCGACTCAATTTACGACAGAAATAATGAGTGCATTTTACAGACCTCGATCATCAGCTCATGTCGACAGTAAAATTATTGTCACTGTGCAGTTACCAGTATGAGGATTTTGACTCATGCCATATACTATACCCGGTCACGAATGTTCATTAGATGATAAGAGCCTATCGCAATTTAGACTTGAGCCAAGTCGTATTTTTGTCGTTTTCACACGCCTGGAACAATCCTTTCTGCGTGTGTAAAGAGCCTATCGCAATTTAGACTTGACCCAAGTCGTATTTTTGTCGTTTTCACACGCCTGGAACAGTCCCTTCTGCTTGTTCACGTGTACAATCTACCTTGTCATTATGCCGAACACAGCAGCCCACAGGAGTGAGCATTATTAGGAAATTTCAAGAAAATTTTCTCGAAAAAGTTCGGCCTGAAGATTTCTATAGTTTGACACTGTAACGACGTATGTTGTAGCCTGACTATTCAGCTCTCTAGTGATAACACGTTCTTATTCATCTTAGTGCATACTATTTGACATTTAGTCAGTCATGGCTACTTTGGGCTGAGTCCGTGAATAATCAGAAATAGTTCATCATTGGAATTAGTTATTAAGTGTGGAACGATGCGCATTGCAGATCCCAGATATTTTTCTTCATTTTCTTGGAGTAAGCTCCTCTTTCTACTTGTTTATCATGTTTAAACAGCTTGTTTGGACAACAGTGTTGGCCCATATTTCTTTAAAACGTTTTTTTTGTGGGTAAATTAGAATGACTTTTATTTGACAAGGAGTACCTTGTGTGACAAAAGCAAAATAGCCGCCCTCTTACATTGATGAAAGGATTTGCTAATAATTGAAAAACTACCACTTTCTTGTCACTCCCAATGAAAACAAGTATCTTGTATGTATCGTTGCGACACATAGTAATGTGCATGAAAACAAGATGAGCTTAATTTCCACTATATGTTTCCTTTAAAAGTGCACAATCTAAAATTCTATATCGAGAAAACTAACTGCAATTCCGATTTGGGTTTGAAACTACATGTAATGTTCTTTGTCAGGGATGTGTTTTAGGTAAATAATGGGGATGACGTCGACTCCATCTTAAAAGTGCAAAGTCCACATCTAGAGACCTATAAGACTTGCCGAACAGTTAATTCATGGAACTACATGCATGCTCGTGCATAAAATTAATTTTCTGTATCAAATCAAAACATTACTCATAAAAAATAAACTCAGAAAAAAAATCATAATGCGGAAATGCTGTATGCATGTTCTGTCCATGGATCGGAACAGACATAAGTCCAGTTACATTTTATTTTCTTGCGCGCGATTTGAGTCGATGCTGGAAAGTTGTTTTTGTTTGTTTGTTTGCTTATTGTTTTTTCAATAGTGGCGTGCGACCGTGCATGCACTGCGCGGTCCTGCACATACTGCACACTGCCGTTCCAACTTCCAAGACATAAACGCCAGGAGGGGGCGAAGCCGCGAAAACATATTTATGTCACAAGCTAATTGTGAGTGCGCCCTCAGTAGTTTTATTCGAGAACTCTGTTATTTTTAGGTTTGAGGCAGGGTGACCGTTTTAGCCGATTTTCGGCTAACTTTGACAGATTTTTGGTAAAAAAATGAGTTTGAAAGAAAATTTGACAGGATGGATTTTTTTTGCAGATTTCTGGCAGAATTATGCAAAAATGGTTATTTGACAGAAAAACATAGCAAATTTGAAAAAAAAGGTACATTTGTGTGAAAAAGCTTTCATCTTTTCAAACAAACCCTTGCACAATGGGACAGGTTTGCTGGTCTAGGTGCTGAGGTTCACTGGGAACCGGACTTTGTCAGTGGCGCAACCATGTTTTGCCTGAAATTTACACAATTTCAAAATATTTTTATGTGACTATAGATTGTTTATAATGTAATTTGAACCTTAATTAAGGCAAAACTGCAACATCCGCATGTGATTTGAAGTGGTTATAGTGTATTTCGAGTAATTTGGGGGAATTTGGTAGATTTTTGATAAATCTGACAGACTTTTTAAGTGTATTTAGCAGAATTTGGCTGTGACCTTACGGTCACCCTGGTTTGAGGAGCTCAGTCACATGACCGCCCTTTGCATGTGACCACGTTCCCTCCATGGTTGGTTTGGTTTGAACAACGAACGACGGGCGCGGCACAACATCAGTCATGTCAGTCATCGTGTGATGCCGAAACAAATCCCTAAATAACTTGTGATTTGTCTTCTGCCTGATATGTTGCGGCTTCAGGCAAAAGCGTGAAAACTGACAGGCAGCACTGTGTAAATAATCGACTTTTGTTGAAATATTTTTATTTTTCTTCACCCACTCCGACCATTCACACGGCACGAGTAGTGCGTGCGTGCGCCACGTACAGCTGTACAGAGACAGAGTGCAAAGACTTCCCAAGTCAACAACGTAGCCTGTTCTAGTGTTCACAATATTCGCAATGTCGACAGCCTGCAATGTTCTACTAGGGGGCCTATTTTACATCGTCCTCGTGCAAGTGATCGTCCTGCCAGGAGTAGTGACGACCACTTTCCCGTTCCAAGACGATTCCCTCCCATGGGATGAGCGACTGGATGACTTGATGTCTCGATTGGCCCTGGACGAAATGACCCTTCAGATGGCGCGGGGCGGCGCGTTCAAGAACGACCCGGCGCCGCCGATCCCCCGCCTAGGCATCAACCCTTTCATCTGGGACGACGAATGCCTACACGGAGATATGGTCTACAATGCAACATCATTCCCGCAGTCTATTGGATTGGCTGCAACTTTTAGGTAATTGTACTTTTTTTGTAGTCGTTAAATTTATCTCATGCCATGGAAAAGAATAATACTAATAGTGCAACCTGACGCCACTTTTTTCTTAGGCCGACACTTTTGTGAGCTATCCTGTCCAACTGCCAAATAATTACAAACAAAGAAATAAACAATTTTTGTTAATGCCATTTATTTATTGGCCTTTTAGCACAGATTTGCTGTACAGAGTTGCCGAAGCTATTGGTTCTGAGGTCCGAGCCAGGCACAACAACCTGACCCAGCACGGCATCTATCAAACCCGAGGTGGCCTGGGCTGCTTCAGTCCTGTCATCAACATCATGAGACACCCACTGTGGGGCCGCAACCAGGTAGGAACTCACCAGAATATCCGTGCATTGGACACACATGTTGGAAGTACTGGAAATTGCGCTCGTTTAATAGAAATAATTTGCATACATGTGCAGACTATAGAATGCTGCTGCCACATTTGGCAATTACAGGGGCGTGGCCAAGGGGGAGGGGGGCGCCTGGGAGGAACATGCCCCCCGTCCCCACACACACAAATTGCCAGTGTGCCCCCCCCCCCCCCCCCCCCCGTGCCTTCCTGACAAAGAAACCAACAAAATTTGCCGCTTGCGAAGGAAGTGTCTAATTAAAGTATCTTTTATTCAACACGAGGAATGTAGATGACTATTTGGTGCTTCATTCTAAACCCCTTACTTTTAACCCTACGGCTGTATGTGTGAATTTATAAATTTTATGAAAAAATATCACCATCCAGCAACTAAGGAATTCCACCCCCCCCCTTCTAATTTTCAAGTTTTCCAGCACCTACCTTGCTAGTCCAAAAATTTGGGACTCTCAATACTGTGTATGAGAGTCCCAAAACTTAAGGTATCCATATCATGCAAAAGTTTGTGCTGCATAATAAAACCAGTGTGAATCAAATTTGCAAGCTTCTTACTCACTACAGTTTCTTCAATAATCCCCGAAACTTTTGCCTCGCAAAGTTGCTGTTGTGAGCATTGCATCACCAAAAATTCAGCTTTTAATTCTAATTTTGTAGAGAGATATCGAAATCCAAACGTGAGACATCATGTTGATGTGAACTGCAATGCATTGTGCAAAAAAACTCCCTAGCTAGAACATTTTCATCTTGTAGATAAAGCAGCGCCCTCTTGTTCATCTGAGTGAATGTAGAATGTTTCATTTTTCAGCAGAGGGCGCTATGTTCATTTGACCATTGATTAAAAAACAAGTAAACTGCAAGGCTCTACCTACACCTACCCAGAATACATTGGGAATCACACACCCATTTCCAGAGCATGGAGATTGACGTGGATGGTTTTTGAACTGCCAAAAACTTGCCTTAAAATTGGATTTAAGGTCTCAAATTTCGCAGATGACATGCTTGCAACTTTTTCATTTTGATGTATGTGTTGTGTGGGCATTAATTAGCTGAATGGTGAGTAAAAAAACGTCAGTAGTAATTTTGCACGTTTTTATGCACTCACGGTCCCAGTCTGCTACCTTGCCAGTCGATCTGTGCCTGGAAATTTGGTGGAAATTGTTTGCCGGGCTGCCATTGGTGTCCCCAAATCATGCTTGTGCCCCCCCCCCCCCACCCCAGCTCTCCCCTTCTCCCACCGATGAAAAAAATCCTGGATACGAACATCTTGTTGACCTAATGTATGCAGTCAGCCCCCGAATCCCATCAAGCACTATAACTTGTGTAAGAATGGTGAAGCTGCCGAAGATCATGATGGTGCTCTCAATAACTTGACCACTCAAATCCAGTGTCGGCAAATTTGGCACTCGGAAGAAAGAAACTCCGAGCATACCTCACACATGGATACACATTAGCTGGAATGTAATGTGCTTTACATGTAGGTGAATTCAGCATTATCCAGTTCCTTTTTTATTCATCTTAATGATAGCGCCCTATCACTTTGGCGGCGCGGTATGGCTATGATTTCAGAGATCAGGGCCGGCTGCATTAATTAGTATAAAGCATACAACTAGAGCTACCGGTATAGCATTTGTTGAGTTACAACTCTTTCTTTTATTGGCCTGTTAAGATGTGTATATATTTTTATGTCGGAACAGAAAAAGGATCACGAATTTCAGCCTTTGCAGTAAAAAAGAAACCTTCTGGGGTACATGATAAATTTCAGTAAGCATGTACACGTACCGGTAGGGCCTTCACTACATGAGTGAAATCACTTGTAATTTGAAACAGGTAATGATGTCATGATGACGTTACAAAATATTCATAGCTTTGGACCAGGGTTCAAGTTCCTACAAGATTGTATCGTAATCCCTTAAATTGAGGCTTCTGTGCATTTTGATTTCACCTAACTTTGACCTTCCTGTAACCCTAGGTGGAAAGGTCAAGCGACTTCACGTACACAACAGGAAAAGTTTATGAAGTTATGGGCAGTCAGATTACAAAGTATGATTGATCATTTTGTTCAGAGTTAGAAGTGAAAGACGGTGGTCACTTTCTGATGTAAAATCGCTTGTAATTTAATACTTGACATCATCTTGACGGCGGAGTAACACTTCAGGATCATGTATGGTTGATCTTTGTTCAAAGTTTCATGTTTATACCATGCAGCTTGCAATCAACTTGTGAACACACACATGCAGTGTATACACATCCATCTTATCTTGCTTTTCTCATTTTTATTACACTATATAGGAAACATACGGTGAGGGTCCGTTTCTAAGCGGGGAGATGACCAGAGCGTATGTGACCGGCTTGCAAGGGAATGACTCGCGCTACGTCCGGGCCAACGCTGGCTGCAAACACTATGCCGCCTACGATGGGCCTGATAACTACCCTGTTTCTCGATTCACCTTTGATGCCAAGGTGCGTGTACATGACCGTTAAAAAGATCTGGCTGGTCTTCATAAAGAAGCTCTGGTTAGAGATGAGTTCCAACATGACGCGGACCATATGTCTGTCCGGTAGTAATCATAGAAGTTTCACATTGAGACCCCGTTGCCACACGCTGATATGCAGAAGACAGATTCACATATGTAGCTCCAGCTGTTAGTTGTGCCTCAAATGTATCCCCAATGTCCCTCGTGGTGAGGGTCACTAAATTTGTCCGCCATTCTCCTGCTTTGATGGAATCCAGTCTGCTCATGGGGCAGTCGGGGGCCGATGATAGGGTTCACCCGTCCATGGATCAGATGCTCAAGGACCTTAATATACAACAGAGATTGGAATGTACCGGTAGCTCTTTGGATCTTCTTTGGGTTATTATGCTTAGGAAGGACAATCACTTCGCCAGATCTCGGGCACCTTGCATCGTTCCGTTGATGATGACAAGAACAGATGTAGCCAGTTGGTAGCAGTAGCGCCATCATGCAGGAGACTCATGGCGTGTGATATGTCAGGTCCTGGTGCTTTACCAGTCAGTTGAAGGCTGAAGACATTTCTTCCATTGGGAAAGGTTTGTTCGATCTGCATCAGGACTGTCTATCTTCCATTGCTCAGCTACTTCCTTTGCAACACGTCTTGAGAAAATGCTATTTGTTTTTTATAAAGTGACCATTCTGGACTTGTTGTGATTCCATAGTGATCTTGCTTTGACCTCTTATCGTCCGTCTTGGACCTCATTGGTTTTGGTCTCAGAGTTTGACGTCTCGACTACATTGTCAATATTAATCAGTGATATACGTACTGTACCTGTACACATACTATTAGTTATCCTGGAGTGTGAGTAGAACACGGAATAAGGCAGTGCGTCTGTGTCCCACATATGGGACACAGACGCACTACATTTTCCATGTTCCACGAGTGCAAGTGGGATAACAAATTTATCTTCAAGTAAACTTGACTCACAGTAAAAATGGAACAAGCACACGCTGTACAGGAATTTTTTAGCGGTTATCCACACGTGCACTCAGGAATGGCACGTGCATCAGGAATGGCACATGCATCATCATGGAATAGTGGGGTATGGACCATGGTTTAATATATGTGATATAGCAGGGTTTGTTTGAATGTAAAGTACTTGTTAGAACAGGTAATACAAAAGTGTCATGCACAGCTTAAACATGCAGTGCCTCTATGGCTGTAGTTCCCACAAAATGCACTTTATGATCACCTTTCCTGCTCGTTTGTAAGAGTAAACGATACATGGCTGACCAAACTCATACATGTAGACCTGTACCAGATGCACGCATGTGCACAAGTGTAACTTCCTACTTGTAAAATATGTACTTAACTGGTAGCACAGACTTTCTGAACATGGATGAAGAACTCAAAGAAGTCAATATTTTCCCGGCATTTTTCACCTTCCCCAGGTATCAGACCGTGACCTCTTCATGACCTTTCTACCTCAGTTCCATGAGTGCGTCAAAGCTGGTAGCTACAGCATCATGTGCAGTTACAACAGGTACATGTTATTCGTTACAAAAAAAATACACACATGTAGGCCTACTCATTCATTGAATGATGTGCTAGTATACACATACAAACGTGTGTTCACCGTCGATCGTAGATGTCCTATTGCCCGTCTTTTGTTTGTACTTTAACTTTTTAGGAAGACTCCCATAGGTTTTGTACACGACCCCAATCGCGGACGTATGCTGGGAATCGTGGATGATATTGTTCTCTTTTGTTCTCTGGTATTTTTCTTCATGATTTGAAGAGATGAACACGTGCAGTGCGTACATGTGTATGAATACACGTGCGCATACATTCAAATGTACGTGTATTCACTGGACAACCGTACAGATAGTGATTCAGGTGCAAGTGTACATTCTGTCTGTGATTTAATTACACCAGTAGTCTAGTGGTTTTCTCACTTCTGATAAGTACCAACGCCATTGTCAGTTCTCTGGATAATGTTTCAAAAAATTAGTTGGTACTTTTAATTTACTGATTAATCATGAGTACATGTAGATGCTTGCATATACCGATACAAGTGTAAACGTTGATGAAGTTGGTTAGGCCAAAAAAAAAAGTCTCCGGTTTCTGGTATGAAGCTTGTCCAAAAAGTGGTGCGGCGACGTGGCTTTTTTTTTTTTTTACCTGACTTTTTTGCTTCAAATGTCGACTGATGACTGCAAATGGTGCCCGACTAAACTTAGTGCAAATATATGGGAGTTCAGAGAGGCTACATTAAGCTTATTCTCGACCATAACCCCATCTAAAAACACGTTAAAATTGTGCAGCAGCAGAATTTCAGTCAAACCAGTGAGTTTGGCGGTTTTGAGACATCATCTTTCGTTGAAAAAAAAACTTTTTCATTTTGCCGACGCGCATGGCTACGGCCACGCGCGCGCATACCAGAAACCGGAGACTTTTTTTTTTTGGCCTTAGAGACAGTTTTTCTTTTTTAATTTTTTTTTTTAACAGCTGATTTTACCTGAGGTTGTGGTCAACGAAAAATACTCTGAGAAACAACCTGCTGAGATTGAATTGTCAAATGCTCAAACTTTCTTGATTGTGTGTTTCAGGTCAGTCCATTCAGATCGCAGTTTCCAGTAGTTTTGTTCATTTTTAAATTTTTTTTTTTTTTAAATTACATCTTATGTAGCATCAACGGAGTACCAGCTTGTGCCAACACAAGATTCCTGCGAGACATCCTCCGCGACCAATTTGGCTTTCAGGGTTATGTTGTCAGTGATGCGGGTGCACTGAGAGCAGTTTACGCTGCGCACAAATACACGTCTACACCTCTTGAGACTGCCGCAGTGTGCGTCAAGGCTGGTGTCAATCTGGACCTCACAACAGTGGTAGCTAACGTCTATACCTACATCACAGAGGCAGTCTTAAAGAAGATGGTGTCGTACGATGACGTGGTGGCGTTGGTGCGTCCATTGTTCTACACCCGAATGAGGCTTGGGGAGTTTGACCCACCAGCCAGAAACCCTTACACCAAGCTGCGTGCCGAGGATGTAGTGGAAAGCATTGCACACCGGAATCTTGCCATAGAAGCTGCTGTCAAGAGCTTTGTCTTGCTGAAGAACGATGGCATACTACCACTGAAAAGTATTTTGAAGCTTGCGGTAAGTGTTTAAAAGAACACGTTGCAGTCAAAGTCCTCACTAGATCTCGTAAGTCCTCACAAGTCCTTGCAAGTTTAGCAGGTCGACCAAGTCCTAAATAACGGTAGCACCTTCATTGAACAAATAGATTTCTTTTAAAACACTCCCTCTCTTTCAAATAATCTAATGCACATATGCAGTGGTACTGTTTGCTTTGTCGTAGATTGTTGGTCCATTTGGAAATGACTCCGGTCAGTTGTTTGGGGACTATGCAGGCACACCGTTGCCAAAATACGTCACCACACCACTGGCTGGCCTGCAACCCTTGGCCAATGAAACTCGCTTTGCTGCAGGATGTAACAACCCCCTTTGTGCGGTGTACAACCAGTCCAGTGTCGTTCAGGCAATAAACGGCTCTGATTTTGTCGTCGTCTGTCTGGGTTCAGGTGAGAAACAAAAAAATATAACAGAATCAAGGAGATCAACCTATTGTTAATCTTATCTCCAAGGCTTTTGCCCTTTGACAATGTAATTTATAAAAACTGTAATCTCAGTGTTGTCCCAGGGCCCACAAGAACAAAAAAATCACAGTTATGTCAGCAAAACCCAATATAAGATTTATATAAATTTCTCGATTTTACATTGTTATAGTCTGGTTTTCATTTTGAAAATTCCTCACAAACGGCATTCCAAACCTTTCTTATTCATTGTCTTAGAAGTTACTTATTTGCAATGTTGGAATACGGGTACTTGATCCTAAAGCTGGAACCAGTTCCCGACATCAGCAGTCGGGTACTCGGGTACCCGGGTACCGGTTCCGATTCACACACATACGCTGTGAACTGTAAATCATTGGATGCTATTGGTTGTTATTTCAGGTGTGACGGTGGAGAGTGAGGGTAGAGACAGGAGAGACCTCGCCCTGCCCGGCAGCCAACTGCAACTTCTGCAGGATGCTGTCAAAGCTGGTAAGAGTTTACACATTACAAGAAAGTTCCTTCATGGACCATTGATGATCAACTAGTAGTTGATTCGTAATGTAACTTATTAAGGCTTTTAATGTTGTCACCATTGCACTTTGTTTCGTGGAATGATCTGTGTTAACATGTTTGAAAAACAATCAAAAGAATCGGGTAGTTTTGTTCGTATTGGCCACTGCAGACAATCAAACCGGCCAGCTGATCCCGGCAAGCTCAGTGGTCGAGTCTGCACAAGAAAGCAGGAGGTCATGGGTTCGAGCCTCACCTGAGTGATATATTTTCTCACATTCACTTGGGTGTAACACACTTTATATAGTGTTTATACGTCGGTGAAGGGCAAAACCTTATATTGAATTTATATCACCCTGACCCAAATTTCACCTTATGAATAGTTTCCTTGCGGTACCCGCTGCTACAATAGATTTGAACCAGTTGATCCCGGCAAGCTCGATGGTCGAGTGGTAAGACGTCTGCACCTAAAAAGCAGAAAGCAGTGGGTTCGAGTCCCACCTGAGTGATTTTTTTCTCACTTTCACTTGGGGGGTAACACACTGATTCAGTGTTTATGTGTTGGTGAAGGGCAAAGCCTAATATTGAATTTACATCACCCCGACGGAAATTCCATCTTATGAATAGTTTCATTGCGGTACTCGCTGCTACGTCAGATTCGAACCAGCCAGCCGGTTTGAAGGGCAAAACCTAATATAAATAATAATAAATAATAAAAACCATTCTTATATAGCGCATATAACCATGAGGTCCCTATACGCTCTCATGAAATCAACAATGATACAAATTGAACAGATATGTTTTTACCCGGGTTTTGAATTGTTCTGATGTTTTGGCCTGTTTGACAACATCTGGTAAGTTGTTCCATAACTGAACTGCAGCTGATTGGAAGGAGCGGGAACCATAAGACTTAGTTTTAATGAATATTGAAATTAAGAAAAATTGTCATGTATACATGTTGCCTAGCCTCAGCAATTTTGTCCTCATTGTGATTCGGGTTGCCTGGCTGATGGTCTTCATTTCTACCCTTATCTCCAGCCAATGGTAAGCCAGTTGTCTTGCTGCTCTTTACTGCCGGGCCATTCGACATCTCCTGGGCCATCAACAACACCGCTGTGCCGGTGATTGTACAGTGCTTCTTTCCAGCCCAAGCTACTGGTGTGGCCATCAGGAACATGTTTACCAACTACCTGGGTACCAACAACCCAGCAGGAAGGCTTCCCTACACATGGCCTGCATCCATGGACCAGGTAATGTGCAATTAATACTTGTAGTTATGCCCCTTTTTTACCTATTTCCTTTAGGTTTAATGGAAAATCCTTCGGTGAGACTCGAACCCATGACAGACTTTTCGACTGTCCCCAACAACGCTTTTTGTCTCGAGTCACTTTTTGACTCAAAATTAGCTTTTAAAAATTAATTCAGATAAGTTTTTTCCTGCACATCAGGTGTAAGTGCTTCTGGCAGCTTTCCGAGTTAGGGCCTGTAAACTCAGAAAGTACTTCTAGTGGTACACTCTTATCTTGTTAATCCCTTTGTCAACAATCTGGCCCCTGTTATCAGATACTGCTGCTAATCCCCTGCATTTGTCAATACCAGCTGTGTAATAGCACATGTGGCTTTATTACACTTGGTGTTAGGGATTATAAAGCCACTGTTTGGACAAAGGATTGAGACAGATGAGAGGACTGGCCAGTTTACAGTTAGATTGACTGTTTTCTCTCGGAGGATTCTAGTGGAGGTTACTCGCAATGTTGAAGTCATGACTCAGACTCGGACCTGAACCAAATTACTTGAGATTTGGTCTCAGACTCAAGTCAAGTAAATCAACTATGACACTACTAGTTTGAAATTAAAATCGAGCTTCCCGGAGTCGGCTTGCCGGTTTGAGTCTGATGCAGCAGCGGGTATCGCAATCAAACATTTTATAAAATGGAATATTTGCGTCGGGGGATGTAAATTTTACATTGAAGCAGCCAACCGACCCAGTAGTGACTCCGACTCAGACATTAACCAATTGACTTGAGACTCGGACTTGGACTCGACTTATAACACGGCTTGTTGGAATACAAACTCAAACTGCATAATCTTTATCATCAGGTACCCCCAATGACAAACTACTCTATGGTGAACCGCACCTATCGTTACTTCAGTGGAACACCGCTCTATCAGTTTGGTTACGGACTCTCCTATACCAAGTTTGAGTACTTGAAGTTTGTCGTGGAACGTGTCAGCATCTTTCCGTGTGATGACGTTTTTGTTAATGTAACTCTCAGAAATGTGGGAGCATACACAGGAGAGGAGGTAGGTTTCATGACTGTCTTGGATTACATGTACTTTGTAAAAGCCTTTACATGCTTTTTGATGAAATAAGCATAGCTATGAATCTTGAAGAGATTAATGATGAAGTGGCATGGAGGCTCCCTGTCACGAGTGCCCAATTTTAAATGTTTTAGCTGGTTGTGAAATCGCCACTTTATATATATATCTGTCTCCAAAATTTTGTTTGAAGGTGGAAAATTTATGCATGGACATGTACATTGTCCCCTGATGAGATGGAAATTAAGCTTTTATTTTAATATCGCACAATGATTATTAATACATGTAGGTAAAAATGGTGGGAAAGTTTCAAATTACCAAGCAATTTGAGGCAGGTACTGGTAAGGAATTTTGTTTCCAAATTTGTGAGATTCAAACAATTTACATGCTCTTACGTTGGTCTAGAATTTAACATTGACTGACTTTAAGCATGTTAAAAGCAATATTACACTGCTTTGACAGGGAGACAATATGGTGGTTGCAAATAATGTTTCAACAATTTTAGGTAACATAGGGTACCATTGAAATCCAACATACCGGTAATAGCCACTGCTGTAGACTTTGAATTCAACATTGTCATGTACAGAATGTCGCTAAGCTATGCAAAATGGCCTGCAAATTCTCTTGGCGTGCATACATGTAGGAGGGATAAGATTTTCTTCCAAAATGCACGGTGTGGACACAGTTCTCGAATAAATATCATTTATAAACACCAGGCTTTCAAGTACATCTCCACAGCGAGTCTGTTACCTTCCCAGCATTGAATAACAGTAGAGTTCCCCCCCCAAAAAAAACCAAGGACAAAGCATTAAACATACCGTACCTAAATAGGAAAGCCTGCTCTTGTAAATGTCTTTGATCCTCCTAATTATTCATTTTACCCAAGGGATCTTTTGCATTTTGTAGGTGGTCCAAGTCTACATTCAGTGGCTGGACGCGACCGTCCCAGTGCCCAAGATCCAGTTGGCAGCCTTCAAACTCATCACCATCACCACACTTCAGACTGCAACGGTCATTTTGTCCATTCCGGCCCGTGTGAGAGCAGCCTACACTGACCGCCTGGTCCTTCAGCCGGGACGCTTTGATGTGTTTGCCGGCGGTCAGCAGCCAGGCCCAAGTACTGGTGGACGGCTGAACTCCAATGTGTTGATGGGGAGATTCCAAGTGGACGGGCCCGAAACGGACCTGGCTAGATGTCCAGCCTAATTACACGGAGGATTTATCACTCACTATAAAGTCATGTAATAAGGCTGGCTCATGCATCACTTGTATTCAAATGTGAAGTGAATTTAAAGTCACAGAACACTTGCAGCAATATTCTCCTGAGTTGAAAGGTGTTCAACTCAATTTGACTCGTTCAACTCATTTCAACTCAATTGACATGACCTCACAAATTTCCGTGCACGTTTGCGCCAAGCATGAACTGGCCCTTAGAGTCACATAGAGTCACAGGTCAAGCTCAATTCAGCATGAGTGACCTGGTACAAGGTACCCTGTGGAGACATGTGCACAATAGGGAGCAAAAGATTGTATACGTCTGCACAGAGCAATATATATAGGTGATACGTCTCCAAAAGGTTATCACGAAATAGATATATGGATTTTACTCAAAAACTTGGAATTTCCAAGGTGTGTTGATCCGTCGCAAATTGAAGTTTTTTATGTAAGGGATATTAAATCCGAATTTCAGCCCAGGAAATTAATTGTGGTTAAAATAGGAGCATTTTTAAAGTACACTTTCAAACTCGAAAACTTTAGTACACAAGAAGAAAGAAATGACTCCACAAGGATACAAATTCCAGTATGGGTGAAATCAATAGTCCATCACAATTGAGGTCACAAACTGGAGGTGAACAAAGGCTTTCCATTTGAGTAAGTTGTGACTTGACTTGAGACTTTCGGACTTCTGATTGAAATGTGCACTTGACTACAACTCGGGCTAATAGGCAAAGAAAGGCCGGTTCATACTCGGTGCAAACGTGAATTTTGAATGCGTTTTAGCTTTTCGAACACATTTCCGCTTTTGTTTGGTATGTTCGTGACATCAAATTCGTGAACCAGCCGTAACAGTGAGAGGTCCAATGAAGTAATGAAGAAATAGTGACTTGGGTAAATTTCGTAGCTCTGTACATTGTAAGCAAAGAATTTCTGCAAACCAATAAAAAAAACACCCCAATTTTACCTTACATGATTTCCACATTACAAGATATGATATCGTTGTCAACATTAATTGATATCACAACAAATTGGAGAAGAGTAAATGTGGGTGGGGATTCCCCAAAAGCACTGCTTGTCAAGTAGAGATCCCCGCTATTTCAAGCGTAAGCCAGACATTTTGGGATCTTGTGCATGTATGGATCTATTCACCAAGGATTCTGCAAGCGCAGAATTCATGTTTAACAGAGCAATGAAATTTGGCCAAGGTGTTTTCTTTACCCACTTAATGTAAAATATTTGGGTTTTTTTTTATACACTTACTAAATTAGTATTTACACTTTGGTGGGAGTTGTTTCAATGCTTTTTGAGTTATGAACTTTTGTTTCATTATAAAGTTGAACAAAGGAATTGACTGGAGCAGGATTTAAAACTGGACATCCGGGTTGCCCATACCAGCGCCTGTCTGTCTGAGCTTTTCAGCCCTACATGTATGTTGGTGCTTCCCACTTTTTTTCAATTTCTTTGTTCAAGGGTGTTACTCGGAAATTCACTTGTTAGGCGGGTGTAACCACTTAGGGATTCTATACTCAGTACTATTATGATTTAAAGGCACTACCATGCCACAATCCTGAAATGTACTGAAATCTACTTGTGATTAGGAAGTTTTAACAATTTTTTAAAAGAAAATATATGTATAAATTATATTGACACATTGATTCAACTCGTACAACAATTCAGAGATGTACATGTTATGTAGCTGAAATCGAAAACAATGCAGTGGATAGGTATTGAAAGCAGTACATGTTTTTGTTTGTCAACTAAGGTAGTTTGTGCCTTTCAGTTTCAAACTATGCAGGTGACTTTTTCTGTAAGATTTTCATTGACAGATGTACACTGTATATGTATATTTTGGTAATCAATCTGACTGTTGCATCAAGGATGTTTATGCGTACACAGTATTCCTTATTTTCATCAGTGGACTTTTATCACAATTGTGTTGTTGCATTTTGATACATCAAGCGATTTTTCTGATACGTAGCTTAGATGTATTAAAAAGTAGCTGAAATGGAAGAAAATGCAGTGGATATGTATTGCAAAGCAGTACATGTTTGTCAAAGTAGTACCCGTCTGTGCTTTCGTTTTCATACTGATGCAGGTGCCTTTTTAGTTTAAGTGAAAATTGGTTATGTACACTGCATATGTATATTTTGTTAATCAATCTGACTGTTGCATCAAGGATGTTTATGTGTACACAATATTCCTAGTACACAATATTCCCAAGCCAAATCCTGGGTGTGCCACTGGGTGGGTCATAGTACCACATGCAAATATATGCATTGTGAATCTGCGATAGTTACGTGTATGTCAGCTGTTTGACATGCATTACGCATTTGTTTTATTCATTCATAAGTTATCCACACACAATGTATTCTGTTTTTATGCACTGGATTGTATTTTTTGTGGAAATTGGCACAAGTGCTTTCATTTAAGGTACATATTCAAACGGTTTTTATTTTTATACACAGTAACAAGATGTGTTGTCCAGATAGTTCGGAAACACATGTAGTGCCTAAAATAGTTCATGTTTGTTTTGTTAAAGCTAGAGTCCATCATTTGCAGCCATCCGAAAAGTAACTGGCGTAATTATTGTTGAAAAACAAACTTGGTTGAAAGATAGTGAGGGAACTAAACTCCCTGTGAAATTATTCTTTCTGGGAAGCTGTCATTTTGAAGTAATCAACGAAAGAAGGCATTTCCAACGGTGATTCTTAAGAAGCACCGTAGGAAAATTTAAATTAGTAGTTCGTTTTGTTATTCAGCGCAGCGCGCGCGCACAAGTATTGGAACGACGCACACGCGCGCGCGGTTGTTGTAATTCGTCGGATCAGTGCGCGACGTCGCGTATAGCTGCAATTCAAAACAATTTAAAACATGATTCAGTAACTTTTGATTTGAAATTGAGATCTTAGAATGCTGTTTTTCTCGAAATGTACAGCTGAAGCTTAGCTAAAACTTCATCAGGTTAGTTGCTCAGTATCCTTCATTAGATTTTGAACTCTTTTGTTGCTGCAAACGAACAAAATGCACAAATTACAAATGATGGACTGTAGCTTTAACTTTAATAACAAGGAATCACAGTATATATATTTTTGTATCATGACCATTATCACAGCATGCTTGTATGGTCTCACCATTGTATCTGCCTCTAAGGTTTATTAGCAGTTGAAAAAAAAAAACTTTCTATAACTTGGCCTCAAAGAGGCGTAACAAATTTATTCAGAAGGGATACAGTTGGAAATGTGAAATACAACACTGTAAAATACCGCTGATTCAAGTTGAAATGAATATGAAAAAAAGGTTTTCTATATCTTGGCCTCAAGAGGCATACAAAGATATATTCAGAAGGGATACAATTGGAAATTGTATGAAATACTGAAATACCATTGATTTTGAAATAATATGAATCTTTCAATGACTAGTACTTTACTAAAGAAACAAACGATTAAGCTAGGTTTAGTCTAAGAATATAGTTCAATGTGTATTCCTTTATAAAAGCAGCAATTCGAAATAGTTCCTGGATTGTGATTAGCAATGAGCTGGATTGGTAACCTTCAGACTTTGCTTGAATAGAAGAATGCCACTATGTGACCATCATACCTGTGCAGCACACACAAAGAAAGCAACTTTATTCTGTATGTGCACAAATCATGCATAGACCTGTTGAGTCTTTACGGTATGGAGTAAATTGCAAAATTCAAATTGAGAATTTATTCGAACTGTCTGCAATTTTCCGATTCCCCTCCACTTGTATTTAATACACAAATCAATGTGAAGTGAGCAACTCTGACAATCATTTCACATTCCGGTGGATTTGTAAGTTCTATCTCCCTATATATATTTGTACTTGTAATGTATCTTCAAGTTCATTATAGCAGTGTGATTTGTTTGTATTGGTTAAGAACTACATTTTATACTTTAGTATAGAGAAATCTGTATGAGTGTCATCAATATTCAAAATCTAGTGGAATAAATTTTCTCAGTATAACAAAACACAATTGTATCCTCTCACCTTTGTGCAGGAGATTTTCTTCTATTCATGTAGGCATCCAAGAATCTTCTAAAAATTATTTTGCTCTCTCATCCCTTATACAGCGCACTGGAGTCGAACACCATACGAATCTTCTACGGTTTCTTGGGTGATAAACCCCATGCTGTGGTATGTACCACACTATAGCAAGGGCGGATCCCCCAAAAAAGTGGGTCAAAAATTACGGCATGGGGTTCGGGGCCCGCTTAAGGGCCCCGAAACTTTTTTGGATTCTAGATGCTCTGTGGTGCGATCAGAGGCAATTTCTGACCACTTTACCAATGCTTTGACGAAAAGATGGTGGTGTACTCATTGCCTGCCTTTATTGCGACGTCACATAAAAAAAAAAATTGGTTTCGTTTTTTTTTGGGGGGGGGGAGGCATGGCCCCCTTTGGCCCCCCCCCCCCCCCCGCCTGGATCCGCCCTTGCACTCTAGGTGATTTGCTGACATCGGTACCAGGCACTCCCTCCGCATGGTTACTAATGATGATGATGAAGTTGGTGTAGTCATGCAGTACTACTTGGGATTCTTCTCGAAGCGAGTCTTGAGATGCGTCAAGGCGGTGTAGTGCCATGATCAGTCTGTTTTGTTCTCAAGATCTATATCCGCCGTTCCGACCCACGTACGGAATGAAATGGCATTTAATTCGTAGTGCCTATCCTTAATTTCGATGATGGATGCCATTTCTGGTCTTAGCTAGGAACTGGATGTCATCCTGTGACAGCTTATTGTATCATCTGGTTTCCGAGTCCGCGTCGTCCCGCGGCAAATCTTCACCGCGCAAAAGTGTCAGTACACGCGTGTCCAGTCTTACTGTTTAAATGGAGACCAATGGTTGTTCCTGCCGGGTGCACACCGGTAAATAGGCCTATCCGCCGAGCTCAGTAAGCCTTCAAAATATTCTTAATTAGTTCTGATCAGCCATAAAATTGAAAAAATTGAAGAGATTTGGCGATGAACCTCTGGCCCAGGCTTGGGGCTTCCCATTATGAGCATTTTGGATGCAATTGGGCTCGAAAGTGGCGCTATTTTGTCATGTTGTGGAGGGATATCGTTGTTCAAGATGGCTACTTTCCCGCTTTGGGAAAAATAGGGGTCCGTCTTCTTTGGGTGAGAATTTCTCGAAACGTCAACTGTCAACCCGCCAATAAATGAAAAGAAAATGAAAAAAAGACATATTGATCATCAGTTTTCTGAGCAGCTTAAATACCTGTGAGAATTCACTGGTGTCTATAGGAATTTTAATACAGGGGTACATGTCTATGGTACATCCGTACCGCGTACCGTGCTGGTGGTACGTGGTCCCGGCCCATCCCGGTCCCGGTCCGATCCCACCACGCGTGTTCCGTCCATCCAATAGTGAGTGCGCCCTCAGTAGTTTTTTATTCGAGTCCGATGTTATTATCAGGCATGTCAGGTGATGAGGAGCTCAGTCACATATTTTGTTTGACTGGACTGCACTGAGCAACGAACGACAGCACCGTTATGCAAGTCACGAGACGGGCGTAAAAAATCCCTAGATAACTTCCATGTGAGTTGTCTACTGCCTGGTATGTTGCGGCCTCAGGGAAAAGCGTGAAAACTGACAGGCAGCACCGTCTAAATAATCGACTTTTGTTCAATAGTTTTATTTTTCTTCACTCCGTGTTCGCACACACGACAAGCAAGCACTGAAGCAGTGCAGTGCGTGCGTGTACAGTGTGCAATTTCACTGCAAAGTTTCTCAACATAGCCTGTTCACAATAATTGCAATAACCGCAATATTCGTAATGTCGACAGCCTGCCATTTTCTACTAGGGGGCCTATTTTACATCGTCCTCGTGCAAGTGATCGTCCTGCCGGGAGTAGTGACGACCACTTTCCCGTTCCAAGACGATTCCCTCCCATGGGATGAGCGACTGGATGACTTGATATCTCGATTGTCCCTGGACGAAATTACCCTTCAGATGGCGCGGGGTGGTGAGACCAAGAACGGCCCGGCACCGCCGATCCCCCGCCTAGGCATTAACCCTTGGGTCTGGGACGACGAATGCCTACACGGAGATATGGTCTACAATGCAACATCATTCCCGCAGTCTATTGGATTGGCTGCAACTTTTAGGTAATTGTATATCGTTAAATTTATCTCATGGGCAGCTGTGTTCTGGCCAACTGCCAAATAGTTACACAAACAAACAAATAAACTATAAAGTATTATTGTTAATGCCATTTATTTATTGGCCTTTTAGCACAGATCTGCTGTACAGAGTTGCCGAAGCTATTGGTGCTGAGGTCCGAGCCAGGCACAACAACCTGACCCAGCAAGGCATCTATGTAAGCCGAGGTGGCCTGGGCTGCTTCAGTCCTGTCATCAACATCATGAGGCATCCACTGTGGGGCCGCAACCAGGTAGGAAGTCACCAGAATATCATGCTTTCCCAGATCCGTGTTTTGAGAGTACTTGAAATTACCCTCGTTTTCTAAGTAAACAATCTGCATACATGTGCAGACTGTAGAATGCTGCTGCCATATTTGGCAATTACAGGGGCATAGTCAAAGGGGGGGGGGGGGCCTGGGAGGAACAAGCCCCCCACAGATTCCCAGTGTGCCCCCCCCCCCAACCCGGTGCCCTCCACACAAAGACACCAATGAAATGTGCCGCTTGCCAAGCATGCCAAGGAAGTATCTATTTTATTTAAAGTATCGTTTTTGAGTAATTGGCCATGAGACGAATGTAGATGACTATTTTGTACTTGATTCTGCACCCCTTAATTCCATTTACCCTACAGCTTTATGTGTGAATTTATCAATTGTAAGAAAAAAATATCACCCTCCACTATCTAAGGAATTCCTCCCCCCCGCCCTCCCCCCTTCCAATTTTCGAATTTCCAGCACCTACCGGTACCTGGCCAGTTGTCGCCTGGAAAGGTAGAAATTGGTTGGGGGTCTGCCATAGGTGTCCCCATGCTTGTGCAGTGTGGATGCAATAATGTTGCACTGCTCCGTATTTTGAGTATACATGTAGGCCTATGCAATGCGAGTAACCAAAAGATCAAGCTAAATGAAATTGATTCTGTCTATGCCATTTCATCTTTTCCTTCTTCTTAAGTAACAAGTATTGAATTGATGCAAGAAATGAAAAAGATACCTTGCATAATGTTATCAGGAGGTGTCCTGATAAAAAAAAAGGAATGTGAGTAACCGGTAATGCTTCGCAAGGGTGTAGACTAGCCAAATGGTTGGACAATTGTAAGCGATTAATCGTAATGCAAGTGACCAAACTCTCTCACTGTATCATGATTTTTAGGTCTTCATTTTTTTGTTGGCCATTGTAGTAAAGTACCGGTAGTAAAACTTGTCATTGCACTTTAGTGTAAAGAGATGGGAATCAAAAGAAAGCCAATTTTTGGCATGGCCTTCTCATGTAATGCAAGTAACTGTTTTTTTTTCCAAGAGTGCCATGATCTCCTAATGGTACAAACATTTTTTTTTACCATCAGGTTGTAGCCTTGAATACACCGTAGGGTATAGTTATGCAAAATAGCAGATAGCTACATTTAGTCTGACTACTGCTAAGCCACACACAGCACTTGGAATATGAAAGGATGCAAAAAATTGTAATGCAAGTAACCATGAAATTGGTTGCCAGGCATGCCAGGAGTTGAGGGCACTTCTTCATTCGTTTTTTTTTTCAGTAACGGCAATTGTTAGGCCTATTGATGTTGGTTTACACAATAGATGTCCTTTGCTAGCATTCTGTACTCAACCCGTAACAAATACATGTACCGGTAGCAAGGTTCATGGTTGCACCATATCAAGCTCGCCATGGATGTTTTTCACCAATTTATGTGAATTTTTTTTAAATAAAATAACTATTCATGCCTTAACTGGCCACAAGTATTTGTTTTCTTCATAAAAACTACCGGTACACGTATTCTGATAAAATATTCCCAACTCGCCCATAAACTTGCCACCTACCGATCATAAAGATAAATTTGGTCCTTTAGCTAGTCTTTTATTATATTTACCATTCCCTGTATCAAACTGTATGTAATAACACTGCAAATATAAAAAATAGAGCTGCCAGTACAGCGTTTGTTGACTTAACTAATTTATTGGCCAGTTAACATGGTTAAGTTGTGTATATTTTTATGTCAGAACAGAAAAAGGATCAAGAATCTCAGCCTATACAACATTTACAGTAGAACCATGTGTTTTAATGTGAAAAAAATGTACCTTTTGGGGTATGATCAATTTCAGTATGCATTTTAAATGTAAACGTACCGGTACATGTTATTTCCGGTTTGATGCCGTCATCACTTAAAATGTGCAAACTGAATGCTGATTTATGTTCAGAGAGGATGCATATGTTCTAAGTGAATAGAACTTCTGAAAATATGGAAATTATGATGATATTAACACTTCCAGCCGGTTTGATGATGTCACAGCATTTTGAAGCCTAAGATCAATCTTGTTCCTGATATCATTATTGGTGCTATGAGCATGGTCATTGTACACGGATCAAATGATGGATTTGAATTTAAAATTTAGAAAGAAAACTAACCACATTATTTACACGTTCTCCCTATAACTTCCGGTCTGATGATGTCATGATCCTGAAACTTCGCTATTTGCGATTGTCCAGGATTCAAGTTCATACAAGATTGTATCATAATCACTTGAACCATTTGGAAGACATTTAGGTTTGTTTGAATTGAGGCTTCTATGTGCATTTAGATTTCACCTAACTTTGACCAACCCTGTAACCCAGGAATAGTTTATGAAGGCATGGTCAATCAAATTACAAAGTGTGAAGATGATTGATCATTTTGTTCGAGAGTTATAAGTGAAAGAAGGTGGTCACTTTTGATCTAAAATCGCTTTTAATTTTGATACTTGATGACGTCATCTTGACATCAGAGTAATCTGTTGAGTTAATGCACACTTTTGGATCATGTATCTTTGTTATGCGAGCTGGCAATCAACTTGCAGACACACATCTATACACTAGCAAGTGTGTATTTGCCTGAAATCGGGGACCTGATTTAACTTTTTAGGAAGACCTCCCATATGTTTTGTACAGATCGCCAAATTGGGGACCCTCCGGGAATTGGGGACCCTATTGTCCTCTATTGTTCAGCGTCCCCTATTGAAGGCAGAAACAAACTCACACACCTCATCAAGTTTTTCATTTTTATTTCCCTAGGAAACATACGGTGAGGGTCCGTTTCTAAGCGGGGAGATGACCAGAGCGTATGTGACTGGCTTGCAAGGGAATGACTCGCGCTACGTCCGTGCCAACGCTGGCTGCAAACACTATGCCGCCTACGCTGGGCCTGATAACTACCCTGTTTCTCGATTGACCTTTGACGCCAAGGTGCGTGTACACGATATATGACCGTTGAAAAGATCTCGTCATGCCAGTATCATATGGGCTCCGTGCACAAGTACCCCTATTTTGGTTATCTTGCTGTGCACTGCAAAAAGTACTATACCCGTAGCAACCAAAGTACTATACCCGTATTTAAGCAACCAAAGTACTATGAACGTATTTTAGCAACCAAAGTACTATGCCATGAGAACTGGTATTGTGTGCAAATGCATGGGCTTTAATTAGGAAAACTAGAATGCTTTATGGATCACCTCGGGAGGCTAGTTTTACATGTACTACACCACTAGAAGCAGTCAATATTTGTATACTATACAGTACGGTACATGTATTTTGTGACGGTACTGTGGTCAACGTACATATTGTACACGTACACGTACATTGTTCTTACTTGTTTTTTGTGTGTGTGTGTGCAAGTATCTACCAGTATACTCTCTGTATTTCTGAAATCTTTTTATGTTCACTGACCTGCATCCCATGCCCTGCTATTCCCTTTTCAATGTGAATTGAGCAGTTTGCCGAATCACACTGCAGTTGCTTGATGCATGATAAAGGATCAATTGGTAGATTGGTAGATTATGCTTTTCATAATAAAAATGGAAAAGGCGTTGGTACATGTACCAGTAAGGCCCCCCCCCCTCCAAAAAAAAATAGTTCTGCTTCTGATTACATGGCATTTGAAAATAGGAAAGGTATATGTAGGGATTTTTTTTTTGCAACTTTTTTGTGTACGATCGTATGGAGGTGTCTTGGGTGTAGTCAAGGGTAAAAGGTAGTAATTGATGATTTTAGGGTAGAGGCTGTCAAAAAGGGTAGGTAGGGTAACCGGAAAAAGAACCTTTTTTTTTTGGCCTAATAAAGAATTACTGCAGACTGTGCTTGTTAGTTGAACTTTACGCTACATCAGTACATGTACACTGTACCTCAAGTTGTAAAACAACTCATAAATTATATCTCACTCTTCCAGTTTCTGTATCATCTAGTTTTTCTCAAAACATTATTTAGCATGGTCAAGTAACAACAGGCCTTTATTGAGATCGGGATCCGTCTCTAAAGACGTTTATCCACATTGTGGTTTTTACCTTTTTTCACAGTGATGGCAAACAAATTTTACAATGTTCTGCTCATGGCAGAGTTGTAATGACTCGAGTCAATGACTCGACTCGAGTCCGACTCGAGTCAAAATTTTTGGTGACTATGGGTAATGACTCGACTCGACTCGACTCAACTCGAGCACAGGTAGCACAGATTTTTCTAAACAGTATGAAGAACTCAAAGAAGTCAGTGATGAAACTCATGTGAATGCATTTTAATTTTTTTCTGGCATTTTTCACCTTCTCCAGGTATCAGACCGTGACCTCTTCATGACCTTTCTACCGCAGTTTCATGAGTGCGTCAAAGCTGGTAGCTACAGCATCATGTGCAGTTACAACAGGTACATGTAATTTGTAAAAACATACATGTACACACATGTACATATTAAACCCTTCTTTTGTTTATGGTCACACAATACCCTGCTAAACTTTATGGTCAGCGAAAAATCCTTTGAGAAACATCCTGCTGATGTTGAATGTCAGACCTTCAAACTTTTTTGATTTGCATGTTTCAGGTCATTCCTTTCAGATAGCAGTTTCCAGTAGTTTTGTTCTTTTTTAATTTACATCTTATGTAGCATCAACGGAGTACCAGCTTGTGCCAACACAAGATTCCTGCGAGACATCCTCCGTGACCAATTTGGCTTTCAGGGTTACGTTGTCAGCGATTTGGCTGCACTGGAAGAAATTCTCACTATGCACAAATACACGTCTACACTTCTTGAGACTGCCGCAGTGTGCGTCAAGGCTGGTGTCAATCTGGACCTCACAATAACGGAAGCTAACGTCTATACCTACATCACAGAGGCAGTCTTGAAGAAGATGGTGTCGTACGATGAAGTGGTGGCGTTGGTGCGTCCATTGTTCTACACCCGGATGAGGCTTGGGGAGTTTGACCCACCAGCCAGGAACCCTTACACCAAGCTGCGTGTACAGGATGTAGTGGAAAGCATTGCACACCAGAATCTTGCCATAGAAGCCGCTGTCAAGAGCTTTGTCTTGCTGAAGAACGATGGCATTCTACCCCTGAAAAGTGTCATGAAGCTTGCGGTAAGTGTTTAAGAGAACATGTTGCAGTCAAAGTCCTCACAAGATCTCAGAAGTTCTCATAAGTCTTTGCAAGTCCTTGCAGGTCATCAAAAGTCATCACAAGTCCTTGAAATAGCATTTTCATTGAACAACTAGATTTCTTTTAAAACACTCCCTCTTTTTCAAACAATTTAATGCACTTATGCAGTGGTACTGTTTGCTTTGTCGTAGATTGTTGGTCCGTTTGGAAATGACTCCGGTCAGTTGTTTGGGGACTATGCAGGCACACCGTTGCCAAAATACGTCACCACACCACTGGCTGGCCTGCAACCCTTGGCCAATGAAACTCGCTTTGCTGCAGGATGTTACAACCCCGTTTGTTTGCTGTACAACCAGTCCAGTGTCGTTCAGGCAATAAACGGCTCTGATTTTGTCGTCGTCTGTCTGGGTTCAGGTGAGAAACAAACATTCAAAACCTTAATCATTGTCTAAGAAGTTACACAACGTATTTTGAAAAGATGGTTATGGGTACCTAACCCCATAAGCTGGAACAAGTTCCTGACATCAGCGGTTGGGTTCTCGGGTACCCAGTTCCGATGCACACACCTACTTTGATTTACCACTTTTAATCATGGGATGCTATTGGTTGTTATTTCAGGTGTGACGGTGGAGAGTGAGGGTAGAGATAGGAAAGACCTCGCCCTGCCCGGCAAGCAACTGCAACTGCTGCAGGATGCTGTCAAAGCTGGTAAGAGTTTATACATTACAAGAAAGTTCCTCCATGGACCATTGATGATCAACTAGTAGTTGATTCTTTATGTAACTTATTAAGGCTTTCAATGTTGTCAAGGCTTTCAATGTTTGAAAAACAATCAAAATAAATCAGGTAGTTTTGTTTGTATCAGCGACCACGGACAAATGGACCGGTCAGCTGATCTCGGCAAGCTCAGTGGTCGAGTCTGCAAAAGAAAGCAGGAGGTCATGGGTTCGAGTCTCACCCAAGGGATATATTTTGTCACTTTCACTCGGGGGTGACTATAGTGTCTATATGTACCCGCTGCTACATCAGATTCGAACCAGCCATCTGATCCTGGCAAGCTCGATGGTTGAGTGGTAATAGACATCTGCACTAAAAAGCAGAAGGCCGTGGGTTCGAGTCCCACCCGAGTGATTTTTTCTCACTTTCACTTGGGGGTAGCACACTGAGTATACAGTGTTTGTATGTTGGTGAAGGGCAAAGCCTAATATTGAATTTACATCACCCCGACGGAAATTCCATCTTACGAATAGTTTCATTGCGGTACCTGCTGCTACATCAGATTCGAACCAGCCAGCTGATCCTGGAAAGCTGCATGGTCGAGTGGTAAGACGTCTGCACTAGAAAGCAGGAGGTCTTTGGTTCGAGTCCCAGCCGAGTGACTTTTTTTTCTCACTTTCACTTGGGGGCTAGCACACTGAGTATACCGTGTTAAAAGGTCAGTGAAGGGCAAAACCTAATATTGAAATTAAAAAAAATTGTCATATGCATGTTGCCTGGCCTCAGCAATTTTGTTCTCATTTTGTTCGGTTGCATGGCTGATGTCCTTCTTCATTTCTACCCTTATCTCCAGCCAATGGTAAGCCAGTTGTCTTGCTGCTCTTCACTGCGGGACCATTTGACATCTCCTGGGCCATCAACAACACCGCTGTCCCGGTGATTGTACAGTGCTTCTTTCCAGCCCAAGCTACCGGTGTGGCCATCAGGAACATGTTTACCAACTACCAGGGTGCCAACAACCCAGCAGGAAGGCTTCCCTACACATGGCCTGCATCCATGGACCAGGTAATGTGCAATTAATACTTCTAGTTATTCCCCTTTTGTTACTTTTGACCCTTCAGCAACACAGGTTTTATAAGCACTGTGATCAGTGCTTTCCAAGAGTTGTAATAGAGAAAATCCTTCGGTGAGAAACAAACCCATGACAGATTTTTCGAATGTCCCCAACAACGCTTTTGGTCTTGAGTCCCTTTTTTTTACCAAAAATTACCTTGTAAAGACATAACTCAGATGTGTTTTTTTTCTTCTGCAAGTTATGACTCAGGCTCGGACTTGAACCAAGTTACTTGAGACTTAGTCTCAGACTCAGCTCAAGTGAATCAACTGTACGACACTACTTGTGTGAAATTATAACTGAGCTTCTCGGGGCCGGCTTGAGTCTGATGCAGCAGCGGCTATTGCAATCAAACACTCTATTAAACAAAATATTTGTGCCAGGGGGATGTTAATTTTACATTAAAGCGGCCAGCCGACCTGATAATGACTCAGACTCGGACTTTAACCAATGATTATTTGACTCGGACTTGGACTCTACTCTAACACCGCTTGTTTGAAAACAAACTTAAACTGCATAATTTTTTCGGCTATCATCAGGTACCCCCAATGACAAACTACTCCATGGTGAACCGCACCTATCGTTACTTCAGTGGAACACCGCTCTATCAGTTTGGTTACGGACTCTCCTATACCAAGTTTGAGTACTTGAAGTTTGTCGTGGAACCTGTCAGCATCTTTCCGTGTGATGACGTTTTCGTTAACGTAACCCTGAAAAATGTGGGAGCGTACACAGGAGAGGAGGTAGGTTTCATGACTGTCTTGGATTACATGTACTTTGTACAAGCCTTTGCATGCTTTTTGATGATATTAGCATTGAGGTTCCCTGTCACGACTGCCCGATTTTGAATGTTTTAGCTGATAGTGAAATTGCCACTATATATATCTGTCTCTAAAATTTTGTTTGAAGGTGGAAAATGTATGCACAAACATGTACATTGTCCCCTGATGAGCTGGAAATTAAGCTTTGTTTTTGAATAGCGCACAATGTCTGTTATTAAATACATCTTCATGTAGGTAAAAATGGTGGGAAAGTTTTAAATAACCAACAATTTGAGGCAGGTACAGGTAAGGAATTTTGTTTTCAAGTTTGTGAGATTCAAACAATTTACAAGCTGCAATGATGGTCTAGAATGTCACATTGATGACTGACTTTAAGCATGTTAAAAGCAATATTAAATTGCTTTGACTGGAAGACAATATTTTGGTAGTAATTAATGTTTAAAGATTTTTAGGTAACATAGGGTACCATTCAAATCCAACATAATAGCCACTGCTGTGGACTTTGAATTCAACATTGTACATGTACATGAGGTAGCTTAAGCTATGCAAAATGGCCTGCAAACTCTCTTGGTGTGCATAGGAGGGATAAGATTTCTTCCAAAATCACTGTGTGGACACAGTTCTGGAATAAATATTCATAAACTCCAGGCTTTCAAGTACATCTCCAGGATCAAAATTAAAAAAGGACAAAGCATCAAATCAAACATACCTCAAGAGGAAAGTCCGCTCTTGTAAATGTCTTTGATCCTCCTAATCATTCGTTTTACCCAAGGCATCTTTTGCATTTTGTAGGTGGTCCAAGTCTACATTCAGTGGCTGGACGCGACCGTCCCAGTGCCCAAGATCCAGTTGGCAGCCTTCCAGCGCATCAACATCACCACACTTCAGACTACAACGGTCATTTTGTCCATTCCGGCCCGTGTGAGAGCAGCCTACACTGACCGCCTGGTCCTTCAGCCGGGACGCTTTGATGTGTTTGCCGGCGGTCAGCAGCCAGGCCCAAGTACTGGTGGACGGCTGAAGTCCAATGTGTTGATGGGGAGATTCCAAGTGGACGGGCCTGAAACGGACCTGGCTAGATGTCCCACCTAAAGTACACGGAGGATTTATCTCTCACAATAAAGTAATGTAATAAGGCTGGCTCATGCTTCACTTGTATTCAAATGTGAAGTGAATTTGACGTCACAGAACAATTGCAGCAATATTTTCCCGAGTTGAAATGTGTTCAACTCAATTTGACTCGTTCAACTGATTTCAACTCAATTGACATGTCATTTCAATTGAGTTGAAATGAGTTGAACGAGTCAAAGTGAGTCATGACCTCACAAGTTTCCGTGCACGTTTGCACTAAGCATGAACTGGCCCTTGAGGTCACAAACAGGAGGTGAACAATGGCAAAGGAAAGCCCTTGATACAGTTGATTTGAATAAGTTGTGTCTTGACTTGAGACTTTCAGACTTCTGATTGAAATGTGCACTTGACTACAACTGAGGCTAATAGGCAAAAAAAGGCCAGTTCATACTCGGTGCACACGTGAATTTTGAATGCGTTTTAGCTTTTTGAACACATTTCAGCTCTTTTTTGGTATGTTTGTGACATCAGATTCGATTCACATCCACTGTAAACCAGCCTTAACAGTGAGTGGTCCAATGAAGTTATGAAGAAATAGTGACTTGGTTAAATTTCGTAGCTCTGCACATTGTTAGCAAAGAATTTCTGCAGACTAAGTGCATTTAAAAAAAACCCAAGTTTACCATACATTCTTTCCACATTACAAGATATATGAAATTCACTCGTTAGGCGGGTGTACATGTACATGTAACCACAAAGTGATTCAATACTCAGTACTATTATGATTTTATAGGCACTACAGTCCTGAAAGCTACTGAAATCTACTTGTGATTAGGACACGTATAAATTATATTGACACATTGATTCAACTCATACACTTCAGAGATGTACATGTTATGTAGATGAAATCGGAAACAATGCAGTGCATATAGGTGTTAATGGAAAGCAGTACATGTTTGTTAAATTGTAGTTTGTGTCTGTCTGAGCCTTTTAGCCCTATATGTTGGTGGCTCCCCACTTTTTCAATTACTTTGTTTAAGAATGTTACTTATAAATTCACTTGTTAGGCGGGTGTACGTGTACATGTAACCACAAAGGAATTCAATACTCAGTACTATTATGATTTAAAGGCACTACCATGCCACAGTCCTGAAATGTACTGAAATCCACTTGTGATTAGGAAGTTCTAACAGTTTTTAAAAAGAAAATCAACTCAGTACATGTATGAATTATATTGACACTTTAATTCAACTCATAAAACAATTCAGAGATGTACATGTTATGTAGCTGAAATCGAAAACAAAATGCAGTGCATAGGTATTGGAAAGCAGTACCTGTTTGTTAAAATGTAGTTTGTGCCTTTCAGTTTCAAACTGATCCAGCAAGGTGACTTTTTTTGTAAGACTTTCATTGACAGATGTACACTGTACATCGTATATGTATATTTTGGTAATCAATCTGACTGCATCAAGGATGTTCATGCGTACACAATATTCCTTATCTGTGGACTTTTACCTCAATTATGTTGTAGCATTTTGATACGTCCAGCGATTTTTCTGATACATAGCTTAGATGTAAATGTAGCTGAAATGGAAGAAAATGTAGTGGATATGTATTGCAAAGCAGCTCATGTTTGTCAAAGTAGTTTGTGTTTTCATTTTCATACTGATGCAGGTGTTTTTTTGGAAAGACTTTAATTGACAGCTGTTGTGTGCACTGTATTTGTATATATTTTGTTAATTAATCTGACTGTTCCATCAAGGATGTTTAGGTGTACACGATATTCCTAGTATATATCAGTGGAAAGTCAGCAGACTTGTGGGATAATAGAAGTGTTATAATGTAATCACATAATAATGTGACTAGTGGCAATGTCAACATTTTGTTAGTATGTAGTACTTAACGTATTTAGAAATACTGTGTTTTGGCATTTTGACACAATAAGTATGTCGGTACCGGTACCGTAGCTAAAGATGAAAGTTGATTTTTTTTAAAGGAATATCATTATCCTATGCAAAGTAACATTGCAATGTACATGTATGTTAATCCATTGGTGATATCGTAACCGCTAGGAGAAGCTTTAAACAGAAACAGATGTCTTGGCTGTAACAATACAACTTTGTCACAATACGGACACAGCAGTGTTCTAGCATGCTTGGTTAGGACCCTAAAATCCTCTGCAGTATCAAACAATATGAACATGGCGCTGTATGTGCAGACCTTCAAGGCATGCGTATCAATGAGGGCACTGTCCCAGCAAGTATTCTGCCTACCTCTGGGAAGCCTGACCATAACAAAGTGGTTTTAATGGAATTGACTGTGTGGGTTGTGCCCAACATGTTTCTGCCCAAAGGCTAGAACTGGAAAACTGGAACGGTACTCTCAACTACCGTAAAGTGACATGACATTTCGGATATCAACTTATCTGCCTAGAGGTGAGAAGCCGTGGTGTTATCACACACCTTTGTATCTATGTAATACACCATATTATGCCTCTAAGGTTTTTAGCAGTTGATTTTTTTTAATAGGCCTATTCATTTTATTGAATGAAAAAAAGTTGTCTATAACTTGGCCTCAAAGAGGCATACAAGATTTTTTCAGAAGGGATACGGCTGGAAATTGTATGAAATACTGAAATACCGCTGATTGTGAAATGAATATTAAAAAAGTTGTCTATAACTTGGCCTCAAAAGAGGCATAAAAGATTTATTCAGAAAGGATACAGTTTAAAATCCTACGAAATACTGAAATACCACTGATTTTCTAAATGAATATGAATCCGTCAATGACTAGTACATGTAGTACTTTCCTAAAGAAAGAAACGATTAACTTATCTAAGAATAAAGTTCAATGTGTGTTCCTTTAATTATTAGAAATGAGCTGGAAATGGTAACTTTCAGACTTTGCTTGAATAGATGAATGCCACTGTGTGACCACTCATACCTGTGCAGGACACACAAAGAAAGCAATTTTATTCTGTATGTGCACAAATCATGCATCGACCTGTTGAGTCTGTGCGGTATGGAGTCCATTGCAATATGGAAATTGAGAATTTATTCGAACAGTTTGCAATTTTTTTGATTCCCATCCACAAGTGTTTAATACACAAATCAATGTGAAGTGAGCAACTGTGACAAGAGTAATCACTTCGCATTCTGGTGGATCCATCAGTTGTATCTCCCTATAATTTTGTATTTGTAATGTATCTTCATTATAGCAATATGCTATATTTTGTATTGGTTAATAACTACATTTTAATCTTTAGTTGATAAATCTGTATGAGTGTCATCAGAAGTCAACATCATGTGGAATAAAATTTCTCAGTGAAAAAAACCCCAACACTTTTAACCTCTCAGATTTGTTGAAGAGATTTTGCTTCTATTCATACAGGCATCCAAGAATCTTCAATAAAATTCTTGATCTTCTCTTTGTTTTTTCCCCGTTGATGACGAAGAGAATTGACCAGCATTGGATTCGAACCAATGTCCTGGTAATGATTACAATTCTAGGTACCATCCATGTGGCTTGGTTGATGGCCATGCATGGTTTTTGGTTTTTCGTCCATTTTTGTGTAAAGCGCTGTGGTACTTTCTATGACAGAGCGCTATATAAATGTTCTGTATTATTATTATGCATCCTGCACTGTCCTACTATACTGTCTGCTTATCATTGGGCTCATTGGTGTATGGGTATACTGCTGGCTTCTTAACAATGGAATGCAAAAGGCAAATGAATGCTCACGAAGTGTTTTTTTAATGGAATGCGAAATGTGTTTGTTCATGAGTTTTTTGCCTAAAGCTTTAACATTCTATAGTTAAGACACAACAACGTGATAGTTAGTCTACACATAACGTTTTAATGTTGGACTCCGGTGGGGAAAAATGTCCTCCCCCTCCCCACTTGGCTCCCACCAGAATGCACACCTGTAACCGTGATGTCATTTTGTCTATGGACTGTTGGATACGCATTTCAGTATATCGTGTAGCTTTAGGACCAGATATGTCGGGTTGAAATTAAAATTGAACCATTACTATTGTATATATGCTAGGATGAATCGTTTACAAATGTAGTAACTTTTTTGTATAAAAAAATAATCATAAGAGAGGGCCTAGCTACTTACGTGCTACCATGATCTTGATGGCATTATATATAAAATATGATGGTATCATGTTATTGTTTGAACTAGCTGGACAGATGTATACTCCATTTTTCTTGCGAAAACATCTCATTTACTTTGTTTATTTTCATGTTAATTTGTGCAAGCTAATGGGCTCCAGACGTGTTTTTGTACTTTATTTACACTATACCATACAAACTCCACGCCCTTGTACTTGTACTTTGTATTAGTTTACAATTGTCAACACTACAAAAAGTATCATAGTGTTGGAAGATAATATTGTGTGTGTACATACACTGTTGGGCATTTGAAATGACCTTTGTATTTTCCATTACATGTAATCACAAGTTGAAAAAGTCATGTGCCTAATTTGACTTAAAAACTACACGCAGGCGGTTAAAACTGGTTTTATTTTTACCTTTGAACTTAGTATAGCTTCAAGGTTCTGCGGCTTTGTTTCTCAAAATCAGTGAACACAGGTTCAAAAGACCAGCAAAATTTTGAGGAAATTTCAGTATGGCAGAATTGTGTGCGCGCTTCTGTACGTAAAGGTGCTGGTGGTCTTTTCTTACAAGACCAACTGAACATTTGATTTGAGCTCTACTGATGAAATATTCCACCATGATGGTTGTTTTTGTGCTTCTAGTTGGTATCTTGCCCGCCCTGGTATCCTCCGAGTACTTCCCCTTCATGAATGATTCGTTGCCATGGGATGAGCGACTGGATGACCTCATGTCCCGTTTGACCCTGGATGACATGACCTTACAGATGGCGCGGGGTGGGTCAGGTCCAAACGGGCCGGCCCCGCCAATTCCACGGCTGGGCATCGGGCCATATGACTGGGACACGGAGTGTTTGCGTGGCGATGTTGGCGCTGGGAATGCCACATCCTACCCACAGGCTCTGGGTCTGGCTGCATCATTCAGGTAGAAATATAAAACAAATAATGAAAAGGCCTTGTTGAGCTGGATCCGAACGACTCAGTTCTGGATATTATATTTATAATTGACTCAGTCAGGCAGTCATTTTATCGTCAGAGGACAATAGGCTGGCCATCCTAGTTCCTGCCAAAAATAAAGGCACCATTAATTTTGGAAAAGGTTCAAGAGATGTGCCTTTCATTGTGAGCATGGGTACATCCCCAAAACTTATCCTCTCACTGGGGCGTAAATCCCGGGGGAATGGGGGTTTGTTTCCGGGGGGGGGGGGGGCTTTTGAATCATCCCCCACTTTGTCGTGGTGAAAAAAAATTCCAGGTAGTTTCGAACAACAACAAAAATGTTTTCACAGCACTGAAAAATGTAGAAAAACAGTACCAAAGCTTAACATGCCGTTTTGATGTTAGCGCTAATATACATTAAGATGTACATCTGCGCCATGAACAGTGCCCCCCCCCCCTTCCCCCCCCCCCCCCCCCCCCCCAGCTTGTCGAATTTCCACGGCCGGGCAATTTTTGGATTTTGGTCATCCCCCATCCCCCACTCGCCGGCACAGATTTACGCCACTACTCCCACCACATTGTCTTCTCTCCCACGTGCAAGAGGAGATTTACGTAGAACCTATTTGTTCTTGTCTTGTATGCACTTCAATTCGCTTTTCAATTTTAATATTCGGGAAATATAGGAATTTCAATAAATAAGGAGAAATTGGGGGTGTGCGGGTGCAGCTTGTTGAAACCCCACCACTTTTAGTTCAATGATCCACTGATATTACTTTTGGACTTTAATTTGTTCATCATGTAGTACGCAATTGCTTCACGATGTCGCCCAGGCAACGGGACAGGAAGTTCGAGCC